AGAAGACCCAAATACATAAAAGAAGATCTATCTCATCTAAGATACAAAGCTGCTCCCCTCTCTACAACAGGCCACAGGTCGGCAAAGTTTTGTTTCTGTACAGCCCTCAAGCTGAGAATGATTTTTGTATTTTTAAAGGGTTGCTTAAAAAAAAAAAAAAAAAGGGCAGCCACACCGGCAGCCATCTGTGGCCTTCAAAGTCTAAGGTATTTAGATATTTACCATCCGGCCCTTTACCGAAAGCTTGCCTGCATCTGTAATAGACCAGTTGTTCTCAAAGTGTTGGTCCCTGGGCTAGCAGTGTCCGCATCCTGTACGAACTTGGTACAAATACAGATTCTTGGTTCTCACCCATGAATTAGGCACTCTAGGGAGTGGGGTCCAGTAATCCCTTTTTAAACAAGCCCGCCTGGTGATGCTGATTGGTGCTGAAGTTTGAGAATCACTGCTATAGGCCAGTGGCTTGATCCCATCTTAAAAGACCACCTGCTTCTCAGTCTCACCAAATAGCTTCACAGGAAAGCGGAGATTTAGGGTAGGTTGTGACCTACTAACAGAGGATGCCTTTAAGGGAATAGTTTGTTATTTCAGCCTGATTGCTCCCGTTGCTGACGTTAACACAGTCCAGCCAGTAGAAAGTGTCCAGCCAGTACAGGTGCTGCTCCAGGGCCTTACCAGGACTTTCAAGTGGATCAGCGCTCCAAGTCCTGGAGAAAGAAGACATTCTAAATTACTATAATGTTGGACAGTTGTGTATTTGCTGCTTTTGAGCATCATTATGATGTACAGTTCATAACTGTTCTCTAATTTTCATTATGAGAATGTGTTTTTTCTAACTTTTATCTAAACTGTAGGTACATTTATAATAAGTACAGTATATTCCTAAGATCTTCTCAACTGATTAATAGGTTGGTTAGAATTTAATCTTATATTCATGTGTACAGTTCTACCTTACATTAATCGAAATTCATTTATATGGTATTTAAGATTTTTGGAATGTTCTTGATCTTCATAGGACTGTGGGTAGACAGACCTTCTCTCCATTTCACCAGAAGAAAATCAGGCCTAGCATGACCTGCTCCGTCCCTATACATAGTTAATCCCTGTGCTGATTTCATCACTCTGCCCTTTATACTGAATCTGGCTAGATGTTTTTCATGTTTTTTAACTTTTAAAACACAGTTCTAGAGTCACCTGGGTGGCTCAGTTTGGTTAAGCTTCCGACTCTTGATTTGGAGTCATGATCTCATGGTCCATGAGGTTGAGCCCTGTGTCAGGCTCTGAGCTGACAGCACAGAGCCTGCTTGGGATTCTCTCTCTCCCTTTCTCTCTGCTTCTTCCCTGCTCAAGTGTGTGTGCTTTATCTCTTTCTCTCTAAAATAAATAATTAGTTTAATTTGATTAATAAATAAATCCCACCACCTGAGATTAATGTTGGTTAGCGATGAAGGTTTTCTGTGGTTCACAGCAAGGTGGAAGTAGAAGGGTAAGGTATTATGAGAATATATATGTATGTGTACGTATCTGTGTATAAAACTAATCTCTTCCTCTTCTTTATGCTTTAATTATTAAGAGGTAAAAGTCTTGAAAAAGTAGTGTCCTGAGTAGGTGGGGGCAGCGGTGTGCATGCACAAATGTGTGTTTTGGTAGCTGTAGTTACCTTTTCTGTGTACATCTTTAGTTTATTCCTGTAACATCTCTTTTCGCCAGAGGACTAGTTTTCCGGAAACTGCCTCACACTTGCAGGCTCAGTTGCCCGGGTGCCGTGTTTGAAAGCAGCAAATTACGTTCTCATAAACACACTTACTGTACGTGGCCTTGTGGTCCCAGGCCAAGTTTTCCTTCCCTTGAATGCCCACTTTACTCCCTATTTCTCTCTCTTTCTCTCTCCCTCCCTCCTCCCCACAGCCCTCCTCTCTGTCCTCTGGCTGGACTTTTTTCCCCATGTCTCTCCCTCCCACCACCACGGGACCCCTTGCCCAGTCCTCTCCTTCTCTGTCTTTTCCCTTATCTTTCTTTTCTGTGTCTGTCTAGGGGGGTAGGTAAATACTCAACAAGCATTTCATAGGTAAGTACATGTTCTGATAATAATAGTAGTCATTTTTTTTTAATTTTTTAAATGTTTATTTCTGAGAGACAGAGACAGCGTGAGCAGGGGAGGGGCAGAGAGAGAGGGAGTCACAGAATCTGAAACAGGCTCCAGGCTCTGAGCTGTCAGCACAGAGCCTGACACAGAGCTTGAACCCAGGAGCTATGAGATATGACCTGAGCTGAAGTCTGATGCCCAACTGACTGAGCCACCCAGGCGCCCCAGTAGTAGTCATTTTAATGTAAATAGAGACTTCTAACTTCAAAGACCTGCGTCCCTAAAAGCTATTCAAAAGCAATCTACTTTAAATTTCTTAGTAACAAGCACTGTCTCTTTTCTGGTATCCCTTGTGATAATACCAGCAGTGGTAGTAATAATGATAATAACAACAATAGTGCTTTCTTTGTTTTATGGCTAATATTTTTTTAGTTTTTATAATATTTTCCCTATTTTTGAGAGAGAGAGAGAGAGAGAGAAGGAGCAAGGGAGGGGCAGAGAGAGAGGTAGACACAGAATCCAAAGCAGGCTCCAGGCTCTGAGCTGTCAGCACACAATCCGACACGGGGCCTGAACTCATGAACCACGAGATCATGAACAGAGCCGAAGTCGGATGCTCAACTGACCGAACCACGCAGGCACTCCATGACTTGCCACATTATTCTAGGTAAGTGGTTCTGAGTTTAGTTTTTTGGACCCTTGGGGACGCCCACGACTCTGTAGGAACTTCTGAGGTCAGAACTGTTTCCATAGTAATACTGAAAAGCCGTATGCCTTTTGCACTGTGCTGACATTTGAGCTGATTACACAGGAGCATTGATGGGCAAAAGTACTGGCTCCTCAGTGCACATCAAGACGCGGGGTCATTGTAGTCTTCAGTTTGGGTACTTGGGATTAAAAAAAAAAAAAAAGCCAATTTTATTTTAGAAGGCCCCCGATGAAGCAGTAAATTCTATTAAACCTTGACCCTTTGGTACATGTCCTTTTAATGTTCTATGTCACAAAATTGGGCTACATGCACTAACCACTTCTGCTGGTTCGAGTTGCCACTTGAATTAGTCACATTTTTCGTGGCGAGTAACCTGTAGCTATTCAGACTTGGGTATTTGGCAGGAATGTGCTTGAAAATGAAGAAGTCAGCCTGCAATTTCGGGGAAAATGCTACATTGGTTGACTGGAGAGGGCTGTCCAGTGGCCACACCGGATGGTGCTTCTACAGGGGACATGTGCTCTCAGGGGCCTCTTGAGGCTGGACCGTGTAAACTCTTACATCCGGCTCCAGTTTATAAATCAGAACTAAAGAAAATTTGTACTTTGAATACCGATGAATCTTTGAGTAGCAGAGCTAAAAACCATTTTCCAAGGTTTACCTACCATAGAACCAGTCATTGTATAGATTAGAAAAATAGAGCCCAGGTATTGAAAACCAAATCCAAGGTGACACGGTACAGGTGCATGATTTATGGTCTAATCTTACATTTTATAGTACAGTAACAAGCACTGTGATTAAAGCAGTTTAAAGATAAGGAAATTGAGACTCCAAAGAAGAGTCTTTGAATGTACTTTATATTTTCCTGCTCTTTTGGCTCTTCTCTCTGATGGCTTGAAATGAGGCAGAGCAAATAGAGAGGAGAGAGAATCTATAAAACTTAGCTTCTAACCAGATGCAAAAAAAAAAAAAAAAAAAAATGGAGAAGAAGGAGCCAGGGAATTTTCTGAGTTCTCACTTGGGCCCCTGGGAGGGTGCCATTAACTGAGATAATAAAAATAGAGAAGGAATAGATTCAGTTAACAAATGTTTCCTGAAGGCCTTTTCATTGGCACCAGTATAGTCTGCTTTGGAGGACTCCTAAAATGGATAGACTGTGCTGTTACACAGTCTCTATGTGGGAAGAGACAGCACGTATGCCAGTAACTCTGATTAAAAGGAAAACATGCTAAGTGCCTTAAAAAAGGCTCAGTTGAAGTCCTGTAGCTGTTCCCAGTAGAGAAGGAATTACTTCTGGGCTCAGGGAAATTTTTGTGGGAGAGGAAGCATTTGAAAGTCTTGCATATAGGGGCGCCTGGGTGGCTTAGTCGGTTAAGCGTCCGACTTTCGCTTAGGTCGTGATCTCGCGGTTCATGGGTTCGAGCCCCGCGTCGGGCTCTGTGCTGACTGCCAGCTCAGAGCCTGGAGCCTGTTTCGGTCTGTGACTCCCTCTCTCTCTGACCCTCCCCTGCTCACGCTGTCTCTCTCTCTCCTAGAAATAAATAAAACATTAAAAAAAAATGAAAGTCTTGCAGAATGGTAGAATCTGGCTATGCCTAGGTGGCTGTGAGGAGACACAGGTCAGGTAAGGAAGAATGGAGCAAGATGTGGCAGGAGGAATATCAGGTACCGTAGCACATGTGTAGGCAGATGATGGGAAATTATTATTGGAAACAATTCTTCCAATAAATTCTGGGAAATGTTGACTGCTGCACACATCGCTGGTTTTCCATTTTGTATTTCATATTTTCAAATGACATTGCCAAAGGAATGTCCTCTTAAGTACAACTTTTTTCTTTACATATAAAATTCCATTTTTCATTGACCTACGGTAAGGATTTCACATTCAGGTAACATAATTAATCTTTCTATATGTTGGTTTACAGTTTTGGAGACGGTCATGCAAAATATTTTACTGTGGTCTTATTTTTTAATTCTACTGTGGCACATGTAAACTTGCCATCCTTGGATAACTTTATTCTCCTCTCAGTTAAAAAAGCCAGCAATCCTTTAAACTGCATTTTCATCTGAACTGCACCCTTCAAGGAGCTGTCTTCTGGAACTTAGCCTTGTCTTGTACATCTTTCTTCTCCTTTGGCTTTAGCGTTTGGTATTCTTCTAGCAGAATGTATCTGACTTGGTCATTTATTACTGTTCTTCCCTTAGAGAAGTCAGATAAATATGATCCACGTGATGTTGAAAGGCTACAACAAGATGATAACTGGGTTGAAAATTACTTAACTTGGAGGCATAATAATGTCGATGAAACACTGAAGATGCTTGATGAGAGTTTTCAGTGGAGGAAAGAAATGTCTGTCAACGGTAAGCCGTTCCATTTAACCGTGACCATATACTGTCCCCTGCATAAAAGTTAGTTTTCCATTTATCAAATAGTGTATTTGCGGATATTCTTGGCAATCATCATAAACACCAAAATAGAATTTTTATAAAAACCTACTAACACTTTGACAAGAACATCTTATGAATGTCTTAAAAGTAGTATCATTCTTAGGGAAATAAGATCACAGGGGAACAGAATCACATTCAGATTCTTTAACTCAGAGCAGAGTTAATCTGTGCTTATTTAGTTGGGTACCACTGAACAATAGCAAGACAGCATCTTCACTACTAGGCCTAGAGGTAAGGAGATGCTGTTTTCCTAGTTTGTTTCTTTTTTCCCCAGTTGTTGCCTTCTCTTTCTCTGTCCCCGAGTTCCTCGTGCTAATAGGTGTTCCCTGTAGCATTACTAAATGATTAGGGGATCCCTAAAAAAAAGCAGGCTTATCTCCAAGGATGCCTATGGCAGCCTTTGCTTAATTTCTTGGTTTCAAGACCCGATTCTAGATGGACATTTTTCCCCCCAAAATGGATTTTAAATCTTGGAAGAGGTGTTGAAATAGTCTTCAAGTAGATGAAACACCCTTCACGGGAAAATCACCCATTATTTCTGTCCTAAACATTTAACGGGAAGAATCTGGCATAACTAATGGTTTTGATGACCTTGAGAGTAACAAACTCTGGAGTGAGTGAGTCTGGAAACTTAAGGGGAAAAAAGTCAACAAAAAAATCGGGAGCAGATACTCTCCCCAGTCTTCATACTTGTAGAAAGAATCCAGGAGAAGGGAAGTATTTAAGAAATAGTTTGATTGGAAATGTAAAAACTGTAGGTCATTTCAATGAACAGTAGAGCATTTAAAATTCATGCAAAGAAATCAAAATCATTTAAGTGCAGAATAAACTTCTAAACTCAATATTAGTTTTTTCTTCTATAGAATTGCTAGTTTCCCGTGGCAAACAGCAGCGATGTGGTAAATGATACCAAAAAAAGGTAAAGAATCTTGGAAAGTTCTCAGAGTGAATGAAACAAAAGCCTTGGCATTTGTTGCCTTGCTGTGTTGGTTCTTAGCCTCACTACAGACTGGACAGACATTGTTTTGTTTCCTCATGCTAAAGAATCTAGCTTATTCCTTGGAAGTATTTTCCACTTGCCCTAAGATTATAAAATGCATTAGACTCTACTTGGTATCAAACTTAATAGAAAAATGTTTTACTAGAGAAACCATAGTGATTTTTTAAATCAATTCTGAGGCTATAATGTGGATATTTACTAGCATGTGATCTTGAAATTGTCCCACTGGTGATAGTATTTGTTGAAAGTCATTCTATGAAACACAATCAAAACATGGAAATGTGTGGCTTAGTCGGTTAAGCGTCCGACTTTCGCTTGGGTCATGATCTCGCGGTTCGTGGGTTCGAGCCCCGCGTCGGGCTCTGTGCTGACTGCCAGCTCAGAGCCTGGAGCCTGTTTCAGAGTCTGTGACTCCCTCTCTCTCTGACCCTCCCCTGCTCATGCTGTCTCTCTCTCTCTCTCTCTCCTAGAAATAAATAAAACATTTTAAAAAAATATGTTAAAAAAAAAAGAATGGCTGATGTGTCAAGGGAAATGGATTTTTCCCCATTTCTCTCATCCATGTCTTTGGTTGGCTTGTTTAGTTAGTAAGAAACACCTTTTTTTATTGCCAGAGCTTCTTTCCAGAGGTTTGAATAAGCTTACTTTTTTTATATCAGACATACTATATAACACTAACCTTTACATTGTAAGTTTTCTTTTTTTTTTTTTTTAAAGTTTATGTATTTTGAAAGAGAGAGAGAGAATGAGCAGGGGAGGGACAGAGAGACAGGGACAGAGGATCCGAAGCGGGCTTTGGGCTGTCAGCACAGAGCCTGAAGTGAGGCTCTAACCCATGAACTGTGAGATCACGACCCTAGCTGAAGCCAGATGCTTTAACTGACTGAGCCACCCAGGCGCCCCTACATTGTAAGTTTTCTTTTTAAAACACTCCTAAGTTAAAATTACTCATCAGGTTTATCCTTTTTTAGACCTCACTGAATCCTCCATTCCCAGATGGTTATTGGAAATAGGTGGTATTTATCTGCACGGTTATGACAAAGAAGGCAACAAGTTGTGTAAGTATATTTCATTGATGTACCGGCTTGTCAAGATTTTGAGATGCATTTTAATAACAGGCAAAACCTCCGTATGCACCACACATCTAGGTTCTTACAATTGGGGATCATTAGGGCCGTCTTGACAGAATGTCAGGCCCTTAGTTGTATGTACTGTTTGCATTATGAGAAAGCAGTAAAGGCAAATGCCACATCCTGTGACAATGCCACATCCTGTGACAAGGCCACAGTAATAGAATTCAGAGTCGTTATCATCTTTCTAATGTACTGATACTAAACTTCAACCCAGTATTTTCATGGAAAATCTTTTTGACTGTCACTAAGGGTTGCTAAATGGACTTTTCAAGGCCCCACCCCCATCTTCTCCCATTAGCTTCTTGTGAAATCTGTGATAGCAGGAGGTGCGGTAGGGACCACCCCTGCTGTCCCGGTGGCCCCCTTGTTACCCTCTCTCCCCTTGCCCCAAATCCACCATGGTTTCTATGAGGCTGGCACGTGGCGGGAGCATCAGAGCCCGATCCTGAGCGCGTGGCGTGCTTGCTGTCTACGCAGCGTGCGGCTCAGCTCTGTTCTAACAGTCTTCTTGCATTTCCCTCCCTTCACCAGCTGTCCTTTGCTGTCTTCATTCCTCGTTCCTCTCGTTCCCCTGTCCCTTATGCGGAAGTCGTAGGCTTCATTTCTTGCTTGGCGTCTTTTACTTTCCAGCGGATACAGTCCCCTTGGGTGATCTCAAGCTCCTTGCCCCTCCATGAACAGTGGTGACCCCACACTGTCCCCGGACCCCAGCTACCCACTGACCGGTGCCGCGGACGGCTCGCTGGCCACCTTCAACACAGAAACCCAGCTGGGCTGCATCCCACCGCCCCCTCTCCTGTACCGCCCAGCTCGGGCCCACGGCCCTTGGCCCTGCCCCTGACACGGCTTCCACGCAGCCCCTGCTCCGTTTCCATTAGCGCTTCTCAGTTGAGACCTTCACTGTCTTCCCAGGCCACGGCCTGCGGGGTCTCCTGTGCCTCTGTCCTTCCCCCTCTGTGCTCCTGCCTCCAAGGGCTGTCTTCAGGAGGAGCATAGCACGTTAGCATTTCACTGGGAGCCCTTTCGGCCCAGCCCGTGTCTGCGCAGCTCCTCTTCCCCCAACTGGCCGCAGCGCGTCCCAGCTGCTGTGCTCCCAGTGCTTCGTGGCTCCCACCCCCGGCTCCACTCGGCCGCTCCTGGGCCTCTGTCTAGGCTGCTGCTCCACATGGAAGGTCTTTGCTAGTGCTCGACGGAACCACTGGCTTTCTTGTTTGTTAAGCAAGGTGAAGAGTACTTTTAGGTTATTACCAAATATTGTTTGTTCACCTGTATTTTCTCTTCGCCTTTACTTACTAGGGAAGTTTATTTATTTCCTAAGAGGGGAGAATTGTTTACATCTCTGCTCCTCTCTAAGGTTCCCAAGTGCACGCTATCTCCCATTTAAAAGAATGAAGAGATGTTTTTAACGTGAGAAAGAAAATAAATTGTAAATAAAGAAAAATGTCAAGGGGTAGGAATGATATATGCATAAGATAATATAGTGACATACTTTTCTTATTTGTATCCTGTGTTCTGTTAAAAGTCTGGATCAGGGTGAAGTATCACATAAAAGACCATAAAACCACGTTGGACAAAAAGAAGCTTATCGCATTCTGGTTGGAACGTTATGCTAAGAGAGAAAATGGGAAGCCTGTGACAGTGATGTTTGACCTGTCAGAGACTGGCATAAATAGCATAGTAAGCACGCCTTTAATTCCGTCATGTTCTCCCCAGCCACATATCGCTGTAAGCTTGAGCTAACCAAGTCATGTTTGGGATTTCGTTTTTTCCTTCTGTGTTGTGAGTGAAGTCAGACATGAAATAGGATTTGTGGAGAAATAAATGTGCTTCAGTATTTGGCACTGAAACCGTGTATTTCCTAGAAATGCTCCTCTTCTGATACACACGATGACAAGGTAGGACATCGAAGCTGGCAGGGTGCTGGGTAGTAGTGGGAACCGTGAACTCTTCTGTCAGAACTGACATCCTGCAGCACGTAACACAGGGTAATACACTCCAGAAGTAGGGGGTGAAGTAAGGAGCGCGGTTGTTAGTACCATCAGATTCATACCACGCTTGGCACTTGTAAGATGCTCACCTGACTTTTGCACATACAGCACTTTGTCACCTTGTTGGGGTTTTTGTTTGATTTTGTTAGCTTTGGAGACCCTTTTTCTTCAGGTGATTTTTGCCAAGCTTAAAAAATAAGTAAAACCCACCAGTCTCTAATTTGGGCCCTTGCGTGACCTTAGTGGTAATTGTGAGCCCTTCAGCGGTGATGGGGATCCATTGGCACATTTATTGTAGCTGTTGTTGTCTCTGACATTCAAACCTTAGCTCCATCTGGTAGTGGTGAAGGAGCATTCACACACCTCCCTGGGGCGGCATTGAAACCTTTTTGAAAATCCACTTGGCAAAGTATGTTAAGAACCTAAAGTGTACGTATTTGTACTCTTTGCCTGGTAACTAACTTCTGGAAATCTGGGTTTTTAAATTTTTTTTCAATGTTTATTTTTGAGAGAGAGAGAGACAGTGTGAGCAGGGGAGGGGCAGAGAGAGGGAGACAGAATCCAAAGCAGGCTCCATGCTGTTAGCAAAGAGCCTGATGCAGGGCTTGAACTCACAAACAGTATCATGACCTGAGCTGTCAGCACAGAGCCTGACACAGGGCTCAGTCTCACAAATTGTGAGATCACGACCTGAGCCAAAGTCAAGAGTCAGATGCTTAACTAGTGGAGCCACCCAGGTGCCCCTTAATGTAGTTATTTTTATATGTGACTCCCTCATGGTTCACAAAGGATTTAAGCTGGCTTATAAACATGTATGCAGAATTACAAGGCAAAAAAAGTTAAAAATCATTTGTTAGAGTTGGGCCACTACATAGGCTCCAATCTTTCAGTGGTCTGCCTGAAAGAAATGGAACCATTTAAAATTATTCAGGGGCCGGGGTGCCTGGGTGGCTCAGTCAATTGAGTGTCCAACTTTGGCCCAGGTTATGATCTTGTGGTTCATGAGTTCGGGCCCCGCATCGGGCTCTGTGCTGACAGTTCAGAGCCTGGAGCCTGCTTCAGAATCTGTGTCTCCCTCTCTCTCTGCCCCTCCCCTGCTCATGTGCACTCGTTCTCCCTCTCTCTCTCTCTCTAAAATAAATAAAAAGCATTAAAAACTAAAAAATATTCAGTGGCCATAGTTTAAAACAAGTATCTTAGGAGAAGTGTACTCATTCCTGATACTTGAACTAGAAAGAAAAGTATTTCATGGGTCCCCAAAGGGAGGACATTTTACAAGATAATAAATAGCCCTTGAAGACATCCTCACAAAATGCAAAGCAACAGGTTTCATAGAGCTTTTTAATGTCGTACCCACTAATATATTTCACCAGTGGCATCCTTTCAGATGCACTTGAATTAGCAGTAACTTGGGATTTTATAAGCAAGGCTATTCAATTAAAAGATGAAAGCAAGAATAGTAGATGAAGATGTTTTTGGCAAAGTCTCTGGGGGCCATAGATCATATACAAGTAACCATATTTTTTATGTAACTAGTTATTTTGAGATTTTTCTTTGACTCTTAAATACAAATTATTAACCTTGGTGCACAATGGATATACGATTCATTCTAAAGCTACTATTATATACTAGATTTATTCTATAATATTTAAGATAAAGATGCTTGCTTTTCAGTTTGTGGAAGTTAAAGATACTATAACTCACAGGCTAGCAATGACTTTATAGACTCATCTGTGGGACAGCTCACCTCTCAGTAATTGATGGGTTTAAGTTTGCATGATTATCTTTCATCCTACAGCCCTTCTTAGATGGCCAATCAGGATTAGTAAGTCAGCTTGCAGCCAGGCCATAACCTGGAATGAAATGATCCATGGGAATAGTAACCCTCATAACCAACTTTCATTGGCTGTGTTCAGTGCGGTAGAACCAACAGTTATGTTCATAAAGTTTTCCAGGGATTGGAGTCCATGAACAACACTCGAGTATAAACTAAAAAAGTCTAACTCCACGTCTCTAAATAAGAGGAAAGAAGTTAGCGAAGTAGATACAGCACACCAGTATGATCGGATTAGCTGCTGTGTAAAAGATCGATAAAACGTATTTTATCAAAGGTATTACAAGGTATAGAAATTAAGTTTAAAAAGCAAATATACCAGAGTTGACATGTTATATGTATTATCATTCCAAGTAGTAAGGTTGTAAAGTGTATGCTTGTTTCAGTAATTCTTTAATTCAACATATTTTTAGAATTTCTCTATAGGGATTGTTTTAGATCTGCTTTATAATGCCATGTTACCTTAGCCAGATATATCTCACTTGTTGGAGGTAACATGAATGATGTTTAAGCATCTGATTTCTTTCACTCGATATTGGGACTGAATATTATAAGTAGCTTAATGACTTAAAACCTTAAGCTCTGAGAATATACTTATTTATATATGAGCTTATTTTTTAAAGAATTTACTAATGGTCTCATTTGTATTTAATAGTGTATCACCTTTAGAAGTGTGCAATTTAAAGTTCTCTAATGTGGATTGTCTTAAAACTTTACATGTATGATCTTTGTTTTAGGACATGGACTTTGTGCGTTTTATCATCAACTGCTTTAAGGTTTATTACCCTAAATACCTCTGTAAGTAACTTACTCCTTTATAAGAATACAATGTATAGAAACCGTAGACAGCAACTGAGATTTCTTTATATTACTGTAGACTTTAATATCTGAGGTGTTGTATTCTGATGAGGAACTTAAATGTGTGCATAGAAGTTTAAGTGCATATCCTAGTAGATATAAAGGAAATTTTTTATAATCATGGTTTTAAGAATTTAAGTTCTAAACTGTACATATGGCATCCTGTAGCACACACATATATAGGGGCATAAAAACATACCTTTATTTCCAAGATATCCCATTTTTTTTCATCTTTCAATGAAGAACCCATTTAAAATGATATTTATTATATGGAACTTCTTACATGCAAGACACAGAGAAGCAGTACTGATAAATAAAGTATACTGTGTGAGAAGCAGTACTCATATATCAAGTACACTGTGTTACTAATTGCTATTTAAAAACTGTCATTAAGAAGACAGTAGACTAGGGGCACCTGGGTGGCTCAGTCGGGTAAGCATCTGACTTGGGCTCAGGTCATGATCTCACAATTCCTGAGTTCAAGCCCTGCGTCGGACTCTGTGCTGACAGCTCAGAGCCTAGAGTCTGCTCTGGATTCTGTGTCTCCCTCTCTCTCTACCCCTCCCCTGCATGTGCACTCGCTCTCGCTCTCGCTCTCAAAAATGAATAAACTTAAAAAAAAAAAAACAGTAGACTACGTTTGAATCTGGCATTTAGAGTTTGTTTTTAATTATGATTCTTGCATTAATTACCTGAATGAAGAACTCGTAAATCTTAGGTACTCATTTTGAGTCATTGATTTCTTGGATTTATATGGTGATTTACCTCTGGAGAAATCAAGATGCTATCCCACATAAACAGTTGTATATATGCATTTTTTTTTTAATGTTTACTTATTTATTTTGAGAGAGAGGGCACATGGGGTGCAGGAGCAGGCAAGGAGTAGAAAGAAGGAGAGCAAGAATCCCAAGCAGGCTCCTCACTGTCAGCACAGAGCCAGACGTAGGGCTCGAACTCAAGAACTGTGAGATCATGACCGGAGACAAAACCAAGAGTTGGACGCTTCTGACTGAGCTACCTAGATGCCCCAACAGTCATATATTTGCATTCCAGTGGACTCACAGTGGAAAAAACAGAAGAGAAACAACAGGAATATCAGAAAATGGAAACTCACAGGTCTCCCTGGGCACACTCAGGCAACTACCATAGTTAGGGTCTTTTGGGACTCATGACTTAGGTGATACTAAAGCATAAAACCCCTAAATCCTCTTATTTTGGTATGATTTCACATTATTATTAATGGGAAATAAGGAACAGACACACAAAGCATGATGGATATCGAGGATCACTGCCACTCCTACCGCTGTGCTCTTATGTCTGCAGAGAGGGGACTCATGAACCTTTTTAGGGAAAGGGGATGTTTGGTTTGGGAAACCCAGGCGATCTGCCATTCCTTCTGAATTCTTCCTGGATCCACCACATACCCCAATTCATTTTACTGAGCGGTGCCCATCAGTGGTCAATAGGGTGTCACTAACCCATATTATTAGCTTGCTCCTCTTTTGTACAAAATGAAAATAAAATATTCACTTATTTATTGAAATATCTAAGTTTGTGAAGAGCCATTTATAAGTAGGATAAATACCATCATTACCTTATAAAACACATCTAAGATTCTTTTGAGAAAACTATTAATAAACTCATGGGCCTACATAAAGATGAATTCAAACACTTCATTCCAATTAACTAGAAGTAATGCGTATATTTTACCTACATAATGTAGTTTTGCAGACATTAAATTTTTTAGAATCTTAAATTGGTTATGCTTCAAAATCTGTCATGAAATACAGCCATTATTTCTTAAAATCTTAAGTCCAAATCTTTTTAGGCATATCACAAGGACTAGGTATTAAGCACCAAGGTATCTTCTTTGAAGATAACCTTGTTTCTTACGTATATTTTACTTGTCCTACATTAATATAGTCATTCTAGGAGCCTCTCTGCTCAGAGAAGCATGACTTTGCATTTTGATTCATTTGGAATAGAATGAATTAGATATCAAGAATTCCGTTTGTGATTTCTGGTTCTTGTAATTGTTAATAGGGCTGTTTAGGTCTTTTTTTTTTTTAATAGTTTATTGTCAAGTTGGTTTCCATAGAACACCCAGTGCTCAACCCCACAAGTGCCCTCCTCCATGCCCATCACCCCCCTTCCCCTCTCCCCCACCCCCATCAGCCCTCTAGGGCTGTTTAGGCCTTCATCTAAATATGCAAACAATACTTCTGTATACTTGGGAATTTTTGGCTTCCTGAGGCTCACAATATGAAGAAAAGTATAAATTGTCTTTTTAAAAACATAATGATGTATTAAAATTGGGGTGAGGGGAAAATGTGTAAGTGGTTGAACAATATAATCTCTAGAAAATTATCGAAACCAATAAATTAGACATTGAAATCATCCTGAAGTTCACTGTACATTGGCGCCGATATGACATGCCACATCCAAAGATTCCAGTTACCCACTTAACTATTTTCTTTTGTACCTTTCTGCAAACAGCAAAAGCAATAAATGAACAAAAAACAGACTGTTTGCCAAAGGACAGTGATAGTGCATTATTGATTTCCCAAAAGCCACCCTGGGTGGGCCCCTCATCAGTGTGAGAAGTTAATTTGGTTTGAGCATGACTCACATGTCACTGAATCAGAACTGAGTCAGCCAGCTCACTTTTTAGTTAATTTAGATCACCAGCTTTTTCTAGGCCAGGTATAAGTGATAATACTATAGGGACACTGAATCACATTCATTGAATTTTTTTGGTCTTTCAGCAAAAATGGTGATCTTTGATATGCCTTGGATAATGAACGGTGAGTATATTATTTATACTTTCTAAAACAAATGTCTGATTTCCTTTTTCTCAATTTAGCCATATTTCTGTGGCTGTTTAAAAAAATGTTTGTTTTGCTCGGTGTATACTCTTTTAAGAGGCTGGAGCTAGAACATTCAAAGGCTGTTCCTAAGCAAACTCAGATAACATTCTAGCGCCAGGCTCTGGGGATACACATTAGTCTTCTCTAAAACCAGCATCAGGATGTTCAACCATTCAGGTAAAGCTTGAACCAGAAGTCTCAGTTCATCACCCACGGATGGGGTTATGTCACACAACACAGGCCTTGGCTAGGTTTTCTCAAGGGCTTCGGGTGTTGAGGAAGAAGGTGAGATGAATCTGAAATTTACTTCAAATCACTATAGTCACTTACATAAGACAATCATGATACATTTTGTGGTAAAAAAAAATATGCTTTAAAAGCAATGAAAAACATTCTTTACCAACTTTAATGTGATTGTATAATACTGCTCTACACATCGTGGTGCATATATCCCTTTGAATTAGCGTTTTGTATTATTTGGGTAAATAGTGGTGTGATTTCTGGATCATAGGGTAGTTCTGTTTTTTTTTTTAATGTTCATTTATTTTTGAGAGAAACACAGACAGAACTTGAGTGTGGCAGGGACAGAGAGAGAGGGAGACACAGAATCTGAAGCCGGCTCCAGGCTCTGAGCTGTCACTACAGAGCCCATCGCAGGGTTTGAACCCACAAACTGTGAGATCATGACCTGAGCCAAAGTTGGACACTTAACCGACTGAGCCACCCAGGCATCCCAGGATAGTTCCATTTTTAACTTTATGAGGAACCTCCATACTGTTTTTTACAGTGGCAGCACAAGTTTGCATTCCCACCAACATTGCACGAGGGTTCCTTTTTCTCCACATTCTCGCCAACACTTGCTCTTTCTTGTGTTTTTTATTTTAGCCATTCTGATGGTTATGAGGTGATATCTCATTATGGTTTTGATTTATATCTCCCTGACAATGAGTGATGTTGAGCATGTTTTCACGTGCCTGCTGGCCATTTGGATGTCTTCCTTGGAGAAATGGCTATTCATGTCTTCTGCCCATTTTTAATGGGATTATTTGTTTTTTGGATGTTGCATTTTATAAGTTCTTTATATATTCTGGATACTAACCCTTTATCAGATATGTCATTTGTAATTATCTTCTCTTATTCAGCAGGTTATTTGCCTTTTAGTTTTGTTGATTGTTTCCTTTGCTGTGCAGAAGCTTTTTATTTTGGTGTAGTCCTAATAGTTTATTTTTACTTTTATTTCCCTTGCCTCAGGGGACCTGTGTAGGAAAGAGTTGCTACAGCTCTTGTCAGAGAAGTTACTGCCTGTGTTCTATTCTAGGATTTTTTGTGGTTTTAGGCCTCACATTTAGGTCTTTAATCCATTTATTTTTATTTTTATTTTTGTGTATGGCATAAGACGGCGGTCCTGTTTCATTCTTCTGCATATTGCTGTCCAGTTTTCCCAACATTTGTTGGAAGAGACCGTCTTTTACCCATTGGATATTCTTTCCTGCTTTGTCAAACATATAATTGTGGGTTTGTTTATGGATTTTGTTTTCTGTTGATCAATGTGTGTGTTTTTGTACCAGTACCATACTGTTTTGATCACTACATCTTTCTTTTTTTTTTTTCTTAATTTATTTCTAGGAGAGAGAGAGAGAGACAGCGTGAGCAGGGGAGGGTCAGAGAGAGAGGGAGTCACAGACCGAAACAGGCTCCAGGCTCTGAGCTGGCAGTCAGCACAGAGCCCGACGTGGGGCTCGAACCCACGAACCGCGAGATCACGACCTAAGCGAAAGTCGGACGCTCAACCTACTAAGCCACCCAGGCGCCCCGATCACTACATCTTTCTAATATAAGTTCAAGTCCGCAATTATGATGCCTCCACCTTTGCTTTTCTTTTTCAAGATTGCTTTGGCTTTTCAGGGTCTTTCGTGGTTCCATACAAATTTAATATTATTTGTTCTACTTCTGTGAAAAATGCTGTTGTACTTTGGTAGGGATTGTGTTAAATATGTAGATTGCTTTGGGTAGTATAGCTATAATAACAATATTTATTCTTTCAATCCATGAGCATGGAATGTCTTTCTATTTTTTGTGTCATCTTCTTTAATTTCTTTCATCAGTGTTTTAGTTTTCGGAGTACAGGTCTTTCACCTCATTGGTTAAGTTTATTCCTAGGTATCTTACTATCTTTGGTTCAGTTGTAAATTGGATTATTTTCTTAATTTCTCTTTCTGCTGCTTCCTTATTGGTGTATAGAAATGCAACAGAATTCTCTACATTGATTTTGTATCCTGCGACTTTAATGAATTCATTTATCATGTAGTCTTTTAGGTTTTCTATATATAGTATGATGTCATCTGCAAATAGTGCAAGTTTCACTTCTTCCTTGCCTGTTTGGATGCCCTTTATTTCTTTTTGTTGTCCGATTGCTGTGGCTAGGACTTCCAGTACTGTGTTGAATAAAAGTGGCCAGAGTGGACCTCCTTGTCCCTAACTTTAGCGAAAAGGTTCTGGGTGTTTCACCATTGAGTATGATGTTAGCCGTGGGTTTCTATACATGGTCTTTGCTATGTTAAGGTATGTTTCCTCTAAGCGTACTTTGTTGAGGATTTTTAGCATGAGTGGATGTTGTACCTTGTCAAACGCTTTTTCTGTCCTCTTGAAATGATCATATGACTCTTTTCTCTTATTGATATGATACATCATGTTGATTGATTTGTGAATACAGAACCATCCTTGCAACCCAGGAATGAATCCCACTTGATCATTGTGAATGGCTTTTTTAATGTATTGTTGAATTTGGTTTGCTGGTTTTTTGTGGAGGGATTTTGCATCTATGTTCATCAGTGATACTGGCCTGTAGTTCCTTTTTTTTAGTGGTGTCTTTATCTGGTTTTGGTATCAGGGTAATACTGGCCTCAGAGACTTAATTGGGAAATTTTCCTTATGTTTTTTGGAGTAGTTTAAGAATAATTATTAACTCTTCTGTAAATGTTTGGTAGAATTCACCAGTGAAGCCATCTGGTCCTGAACTTTTGTTTATGGGGAATTTTTTGATTACTGATTCGATTTCTTTGCTGATAATCTATTCAAATTTTCTTTTTCTTCCTGTTTCAGTTTTGGTAGGTTATATGTTTCTTGGAATATTCTTCTAGGTCATCCAATTTGCTGGCATATAGTTTTTCATAATGTTTTCTTATAATTGTTTGTATTTATCCTCTTTTGCTTGTGATTTTTATGTATTTGGGTCTTTTCTCTTTTTATCTTGATAAAAAAAAGAACCAGCTTCTGAATTCATTGATCTGTTCTATTGTTTTTTGCTTTTGTTTTTTGGGTTTGTTTTTGTTGTTGTTTTTTTTTTTTTAGTTGTTTTTTTTTTTTTTTTAACATTTATTCATTTTTGAGAGAGAGATAGACTGTGAGTGGGGGAGGGACAGAGAGNTTTTGAGAGAGAGATAGACTGTGAGTGGGGGAGGGACAGAGAGAGAGGGAAACACAGAATCTGAAGCAGGCTCCAGGCTCTGAGCTGTCAGCACAGAGCCTGACACGGGGCTCAAACCCACAAGCAGTGAGATCATGACCTGAGCTGAAGTTGGATGCTTAACCGACTGAGGCACCCAGGCGCCCCCGTTTTTGTTTCTTTATCATTTGTTTCTGCTCTGATCTTTATTCTTTATTTCCTTCTATTGGTTTTAGGTTCTGTTTGTTATTTTTCCACTTCGTTTAGGTGTAAGGTCAGGTTTTATATTTGTACATTTCCGTGCTTTGAGGTAGACCTGTATTGCTTAAACTTCCCTCTTAGAACCACTTTTGCTGTGTCCCAAAGGTTTTGAATCATTGTGTTTGCATTTTCATTTGTTTCCATGTACTTTTGTATTTCTTTGATTTCCTGGTTGACCCCTTCATTGTTTAGTAACATGTTATTTAACCTAAATGTATTTGTAGTCTTTCCAAATTTTTCTTGTGGTTGATTTCTAATTTCATAGCCCTGTGGTCAGAAAAGATCCATGATAGGTCTTCAATCTTCTTGAATTTGTTCAGGCTTGTTTGGTGGCCTCATATGCGATCTCTTCTGGAGAATGTTCCATGTGCACTCAAAAAGAATGTGTATTTTGCTATTTTAGGATGGAATGTTCTGAATATATCTGTTAAATCCATCTGGTCCAGTGTGTTACTCAAAGCCATTGTTTCTTCATTTTCTGTTTACATGATTTTCCCATTAATATAAGTGGGAAGTTAAATTCCTCTACTATTATATTATTATCAGTTCTTTTATGTTTCTTATTAACTGTTTTATGTATTTGGGGGCTCTCATGCCGGGTGCACAAATATTTACAATAGTTATTTCTCCTTGGGTTATCGGCTTTATGATTATATAATGCCCTTCTTCATCTCTTGTTACAGTCTTTGTTTTAAAGTCTATTTGTCCAATATAAGTATTGTTACTCCAGCTTTCTTGTGACATCCATTTGCGTGATAAATGCTTCTCTTTCCCCTCACTTCCAATCTGCAGGGGTCTTTAGGTCAAAAATGAGTCTCTTCTAGGCAGCATTTAGATGGGTCTGGTTTATTCATTCTGTCATCTGTGTCTTTTGATTGGAGCATTCAGTCCATTTACATTCAAAGTAATTATTGATTGATATGTACTTATTGCCATTTTATTACTTGGTTTGTGGTTGTTCTTGCAGATTTTCTCTGATCCTTTCTTGTATTTCTCTCTTTCATGATTTGCTGGTTTTCTTTAGTGGTACATTTGGATTTCTTTCTCTTTATTGTTTGCATATTTATTAGTGGTTTTTGATTTGTAGTTCCCATTATGTTTGTATATAACCTCTTCTGCATATAGCAGCCTATATTAAGTTGATGGTCCTTTAAGCTTGAGCCTATTCTTTCCTCCTCTACTCTTTTGGGTATATGGTGTCATTTTTTACATTCTTTTATTTTGTGAGCTCATTGACTGGTTTCCTACAGAAGTAGTCATTTTTTACTCCTTTCGTGTTCCTCCCTTGGTACTGTCACTTTTGGTCTCTCGTTTCCCCTTGGAGTCCCCTTAGTATTTCTTGCAGGGCTCAGTTAGTGGTCATGAATTCCTTTAGTTTTTGCTTGTCTGGGAAACTCTTTATGTGTCCTTCTATTCTGAATGATAACCTCCTGGATAGATTATTCTTGGCTGCAGGTTTTTCTCATTCAGCACTTTGAATGTATCATACCACCCATTTCTGACTTAGGAAATTTCTGGCGGAAAATCCACTGATACCTTTATGTGGTTTTCTTTATATGTAACTGTCTTCTTTTGTCTTGCCGCTTTTAATACTTTTCCTTTATCACCATATTTTGCCATTTTAATTACACTATGTCTTGGTGTGGGCTGGCTTTGATTAATTTTTTAAGGGGTTCTCTATGCCACCTAGATCTGGATATGTTTCCTTCCCCAGATTCGGGAAGTTTTCAGCTATTATTTCTTCAAATAAATTCTCTGCCCTCTTTTGTCTTTCTTCTTCTGGGATTCCTATAATACGAGCGTTACTACATTTGATGGAGTCACTGAGTTCCCTAAATCTATTCTCATTTTGCATAGTTCTTTTTTTCTCTTTTGTTCCTCTTGATTATTTTCCATTACTCTGCCTTCTAGGTCACTAATTGGTTCCTCTGCTTCTTCCAGCCTGCTGTTCATTTCCATCAAGTGTGTTTCACACTTCATTTATTGAGCCCTTTATCTCTGCTTTGTTATTCCTTATCTCTGTGTTAATAGTCTCCCTGATGCCTTCTATTCTTTTCTCAAGTCCACTGAGTATCCTTAGGATCATTGCTTTAAATTCTCCATCAGACGTGTTACTTATATCTGTTTCACTTAGATCTCTGGCGGTGACTTTGCCCCGTTCTCTCTTCTTATTTTGTGCAAGTCTCTGTGCCTGTTTTTGTGTGTTAGGACGGGCAGCTCCATCTCCTGTTCTTGAGGGCAATGGCTTTATGGAGAAGAGGCCCTGTGGTGTCCTGCCGTGTAAGTGTCCGGGGCCTGGTGCTTCCGGGACGGTCTCCAGTGTGTGTTCTGTGCGCTCTGCTATTGTGTCCTGGCTGCTTTATGCTCAGGCCGGTCATTTGCAGCTGTAGTGGGCAGTTTTTGTTGTCTGGCCTGAATGTGGCACATTTAAACCAGGTGTGCACTGGTCTGGTTGTGAAACGAGACCTGTTGCTGCCGCTCCCAGAGCTGAGGCCTCACAAAACTCCTGGGTCAGGGGACACCACGTTGGCAGGGCCTTGGGCCGGTCTTCTAGGGAAAGGGCCCTGCTGACCTGGGGCTCGGGCGAGTGGGACTGAGAAGGATGGTTCTTCCGGGGGGGGGGGGGGGGGGGGATCTAGAGGAGCTTGGTGTAAGCAAATCAGGTAGCACGTGTCAGCACTGTACTGCCTCCTACAGGTGGCCCCGAGCTTATGCTGAGGGGCAGGGCAGTAAAATGATACCTGCCAGTTTCTTGTTCCAGGAGGGATCTCTCCATGAGTGCTGCCTCTCCGGAACACGCTCCGAGATGAGCGAATAACCTTCGCACTCTGTGCCCCAGGCACTCCTCAGATCGCTCTGTCCTCACTGTATGTCCGCGGCCTGTTGACCCTGCCTTCTCTCCAAGAGCAGCCCGGTGTCCTCTGAGCTCGCCCAGAGCCAAGTACACTGACCTGGTTAAACTCCAGGCCTTAACCCCGCTGCTTGCAAGAACTCACAAAATTCGGGCCCTCTCACTTTCCAAGCCAGTTGCTGTTTATGTTTGTTTGCTCCATGTGCCCCCCTGTGGGCTAGTCTGTCTCTCGCCCTTCCCCATGACCGAGGCTCCCTTCCCACTGCAGCAGCCGTGATCTATTTCTCCCCCAAGCCAGGTTTCCTTACATCCAACATTCCTCATTGTGCTGCCTTCTCTACCTTTAGTTGTGGTTTGTTCTGCCCATCTTCAGATCAACTGGTGGGGCACTTAGGATGATCTGGTCGTGGGGCACCTGGGTGGCTCAGTCCGTTGAGCATCCGACTTCGGCTTAGGTCGTGATCTCGCAGTTCCTGGGTTCGAGCCTCACGTCGGGCTCTGTGCTGACAGCTAGCTTAGAGCCTGGACCCTGCTTCAGATTCTGTGTCTCCCTCTCTCTCTGACCCTCCCCTGCTCACGCTGTCTCTCTCTCTCTCAGAAATAAATATAACATTAAAAAATGTTAAGAAAAAGTTAAAAGTTAAAAAAATAAAAGGATGATTTGGCCGTTATCTAGTTGTGTTTGTGGGACAAAGTGAGCCTTGGGTGCTCCTACTCTGCTGCCGTCTTCTAAGATCTCTCGCAAGAAACAATAGTCTTTGTAATAAATGATACTGGGACAACTGAGTATCCACATTCAAAAGAATGAAATTAGGCCTCTACCTCCCTTCATGTACAAAAATTAGTTCCAAATGGATCAGAGAACTAAATATAAGAATTAGAACTGTAAAGCTCAGAACCATAGGAATAATACTTTGTGGCCTTGAATTAGGCAGTGGTTGCTTAGATAGGACACCAAAACACAAACAACAAAAGAGAAGAATAGATACATTGGACTTCATTAAAGTTTAAAATTTTGTACTTCAAACGACACCACTCAGAACGTGAAAAGACAACTCTCAGAATGGAAGAAAATATTTACAAATTGTGCATCAGAGAAGGGACTTATGTCTAGAATATATAAATAGCTTTTACAGCACAACAATTAAAAGACAAATGGCCCAATTAAAAAGGGCAAAAGATTTAAATAGACATTTCTCCAAAGATATGCAAATGGGCAATAAACACATAACAAGACGTTCAACATCATTAGTCATTAGAGAACTACAAGTCAAAATCAAATGAGATACAACTTCACACCAAGTAGGATGGCTGTAATCAAAAAGACAGGAACACGTGTTGAGGTTATGGAGCAATTGGAACCCTCATACATTACTGGTGAGAATGTAAAATGGCGCGGGCACTCTGGAAAGCAGTAGGGCAGTTCCTCAAAAAGTTCAACATAAAAGTACCATATAATTCAGCAGTTCCATTCCTAGGTGTGTTCCCAAGAGAACTGAAAGCACATGTCCACACAAAAGCTTGTACACAGATGTTCAGAGCAGTATTATGCATAGTAGTAAAAGTGGAAACTACTCCAGTGTTAGCCTTTGATGAATGAATAACATGTGTAGACCTGTAAAATGGAAAATGATTCAGCCTTAAAAAGGGATTACATACTGATATATGCTACATCATAGATACACCTTGAAAACATGCTGAGTAAACAAAGCCAACTAGAAAAACCACGTGTTGTATGATTCCATTTATATGCAGTATCCACGATTGGCAGATCCAGAAGGTAGATCAGTGGTTGCCAGGGAATGGGGGAAGGAGGGTAAGGAGAGATTGCTTATAGGTAGGGGTTTCTTTTTGGTGTTATGAACACGTTCTAAAATGAAGGGGGGGGGGGGGGGCGGTGTGTGCCTGAGTGCAGTCGTTTGAGCATCTTACTCTCTTTCGGGTTAAGGCATGAGCCCAGGGTTATGGGATCCAGCCCCATATCAGGCTCTGTGCTAAGTGCAGAGTCTGTTTAAGACTCACTCACTCTCCCCCTCTGTCCCTCTTTCCCATTCATGTGTTTGAGTGCTTGCTCTCACTCTCTCAAATAAGATAAAATTAGCTAGTGGTAATGGTCATAAAACCATCTAAATACACCAAAAACCATTGATGTGCATACTTGAAAGGGGTGAATTTTATGGTATGGGAATTATATCTCAGTAAAGCTATTATAAAAAAATCAGATTTAGCACTTTAGTTAATTCAAGTAGCTTAGCTTCAAACACGTCAACTCAGACTTTTTAAATCGAAATTAATGAAAATGTAAATATTACATAAAATTTTCAGCATAATTAGGCAAACTAAACATGTAGTTTTCTGAACCAGGATTTCATTTTTATCATACTGTTTTATTTTCTGATTTTTTTCTTTGATGCTTTTGCAAATTCAGGATTCCTCTTTTGTTTAAAATGTGTTTTGAATGTCAGAATGGAAACAAGGTTTAAAAAAATTAAATCTAAGTTAGAATGACATGAAAGAACAAGATTGTAATTACTAAACAGTTGTCTTTGATAACGGTTTATTCTTGACGATTCCGTGAGTTCCTTACAATTCTGTAAGGACTTGGGAGAGAGGCAGAGACGTTTAGGGTTAGGATGGAACTCTGAGTCTAGCTCAAACCCATAATAAGGAGAGCTGTTTCTTTCTCTTCTTCACTTCCCATTTGAGGAGGTTTGTCCGAATGGGGGATCATTGACAGATTTGTACACAGGCCAAAACCCTGGTAAGTTTATTGGTGCACATCAAGGTGATTCAATGTCCCTGAATCTTCCTGGAACATTTGGAACCCATAACGGATAGTCACCGTGTAAATGCCTGCAGGGATTAATGAAAGTTAATTATCATACCACGGAAAGATGTATATTAACCGAGTTTAGCCCAAACCAGTATCAGAAGACCTTCATTAGCACATACAATAAATTGATTGAGAAAGAGAATGGATTTAATGAAGTGACCGTTTTTTTCCTCAGCTGCTTTCAAAATTGTGAAATCCTGGCTTGGCCCAGAAGCAGTAAGCTTGTTGAAGTTTACAAGTAAAAATGAAGTCCAAGAGTACGTCAGTGTGGAGTACCTGCCCCCCCACATGGGTGGGACTGTAAGTATAGTGCTTGAAGTGTGTTTCCAAACTAAAACTCATTTGGGGCGCATCAGGCCGTGTTCTTGCCTTAAGAACAAAGGAAAAGCAGTATCTGACCGCCTGAAGAAAGATCATAGATACTCCAAAATAGCACCATTATAGACATGTTTGTGTAGGTTTTTGAGTTGTTACATTTTATTTTCAGTGGGTTATATATTTATGTGGTTTTAAACTGAAAAGTGTTTGGTATTAAATACGAATATTCAGACCTAAGTATTCAGTAAAAAGTCTTTCTACTGCTACCCCAATCATGCTCTTCTCCCCAGTTCCGTCTCTTCTGTTTCTTTCCAGGAACCCATGTTGCCTGTATAAGCAATACCGTTTATATATAACACACATAAGCAAATGCGTATGTAATTCTTCTCCCTTTCATCGCTTTTAAAAAGTAGTGTATTTTACGCTGTTGTGCATCCTGCTGTCTTTACAACATGTCTTAGAGATCATTCCACATCAGTAGGAAAAGCTGTTTTACTCTTATTTATGCTACATAGTATTCCTGTGTCTAGAGATGATCTGTGAGTTACTGAATTTTTTTCATGTGTCTCATTTTCTTCTGATTGTTTACTGTTTAACAGTCATTTTAATTTAAAAGATAATATGTATTATCAAGTTTTTTTGAAATGGTTTTACTACTTACAAATAAGAGACTGGGAGTAAGTAGGTATGTGTTAAATTTTTAATACTACATAATAATGAAATGTACTGTGTAATGAGTTTCCTTATAAACTAAGAAACCAGTGGATTTGGTATGCTTTGGGTTAACCTGAATGATAATATTTCTTTTTTTTTTTAATAGTTTATTGTCAAGTTGATTTCCATATAACACTCAGTGCTCATCCCCACATGAATGATAATATGTCCTTTGTTTTTTACAATCTACTTCAGATACTGCCTACCTGGCAAAACTGTGTCCTTTTGATTTCTTTGGTTAGAAAAACTTGAACCAATATCTTTAATTTGAAATTTGCTGCTTTCCTATTTTGAAGCTTTATATTTTACATTTTAACCTAGAAAAACACAGTATGGTTCATTTCAGGTACTACCTTTAGTTAAACTAGCTATTTGATTGATTTGTTGTTAATAATCTGCCCCTAGAATTGTTATATCTTAAAAGTAACAGCATCTAGGGGCACCTGAGTGGCTCAGTCGGTGAAGCGTCTGACTTGATTTCGGCTCAGGTAATGATCTCATGGGTTCGTGAGTTCGAGCCCCATGTCAGACTCTGTGCAGACACTGAGGAGCCTGTTTGGGATTCTCTCTCTCTCTCTCTCAAAATAAATAAACTTAAAAAACTTAATAGCATCTAGTAAAAATTATTTTTAGGAGTAGAAAAGGTTATCTCCCTTCTCTCTCATTAATGGTATATATATATATATATATATATATATTTTTTTTTTTAATGTTTTATTTATTTCTAGGAGAGAGAGAGAGAGAGAGACAGTGTGAGCAGGGGAGGGTCAGAGAGAGAGAGGGAGGGAGTCACAGACTGAAACAGGCTCCAGGCTCTGAGCTGGCAGTCAGCACAGAGCCCAACGCAGGGCTCGAACCCACGAACCGCGAGATCGTGACCTAAGCAAAAGTTGGACGCTTAACCGACTAAGCCACCCAGGCGCCCCATAATGGTATATTTTTTTAGGACTGCTCAGAATTATAGTAGGACTACCATTCTTTAACATACTTTTTTCCCCAAAAGTAGTACTTACACCTGATTGTTTTAAAAGCAAACAATACCAAAGACAGAAAAGTACAGTAGTCTAGTCCTAAGCATGTTTCCCTCCCATGGCGTCCAACTTTTCTCTCCTGGAGATCCTCTGTCCATTTTATTTTTTTGTCACATAACGGTCACATTATGTTGTTTCAAAGTTTTTTCCACATCATCTCTTGTTAGTTTATGCTATATGGATTCATAGAGGTCTACCTGATATTTTAAACCATTGCAGAATATTCCATTGTATGGATGTAACATAACGTATTTAATCAGTTCTCTTTGGAAGGACTATTACCTGTTTTCTAATCTTGCCACTATTAGGAGTGCTGCAGTGACTATCCTTGTAAATATCTTGGTACATGGGTGCAGGAGTGTAAGTAGAAGGTGGGCTCCTTGAGTTAAAATCACCAGGTCGATGGGTATTTGTAGTTTCAATTTTGATAGCTGATGTCTGTTTCCCTCTAAAGAGATGGTGCTCATTTCCCAGTACCACGTGGCAATGCCTGAACCACGCGCTTGCCAGTATTGCATACTCTTTTTGGTCACCTTTGCCAGTCTCTGGTGAAAAATATTCTAAGTGTGGTTTGAATTTGCATTTGTATTATTGTAAGTGATGTTGAGTATTTTTTTATGATTTAAAAGGTAGTCTGTTCTTTATGAACTCTGTATCATTCCTTTTTTTAAAATTCTGTTATAACTTTTCTTGATTTGTATATATTAACAAAAGCTGTCTTGTTTGATACATGGGATACATATTTTTCCAGCTGTGGCTTTTTAAAAAAAAACTTTATTTTAAGCATTTTTGTTTTTGTTTTGTTTTGGGTTTTTTTGGTGGTGCCGGGTGAAGGATTGGTTGTTGGGTTTTTTGTTGTTCAGAAATGTTTCATTTTAGTGTGCTCATTTTTTATCAGTATTTTTATGCCTGCCGGGTTTTATGCTATGATTAGAAAGGTCTTCACTACTTAGGTTTTCTGTTGTTGTTTTTTTTTTTATAAATGTATTTGTTTTAAGTAGGCTCTATACCCAATATGGGGCTTGAACTCACAATACTGAGATCAGGAGTCATAGGCTCTACCGACTGAACCAGCCAGGTGCCCCTGTTTTCTGTTCTGTTCTGTTTTGTTTTTTATCCTTCAGTGTGTTTTCCTGGAGCTTATGTTGTTATGTGGTGGTGGTGGTGGTGGTTTTAAGCTTACATGGTTTTTAAAAAATGACACTTTCAGAGCACCTGGCTGGCTCCATTGGAAGAGTAGGTGACTCTTGATCTCAAGGTCATGGTTTCAAGTCCCACATCAGGTGTAGAGATTAGTAAAAAAATAATAATAAAAATAAAAAAATTTAATATATCCTTTCAAGTTTTTATTCATCTGAAATTCTTTTTGGTGCAAAGAATGAGCAAGAGATCTAACTTGGTTGTTTACAAAGGGCTAGTCAGTTGCATATACACTTACTGCTCTTTCCCCTTGTGTTTTGAAATGCTTCCTTTTTTAAAAAAAAAAAAATTCACTATCTAATTAAGTCAGCTTTTTTTTTTGTCTTGGTTTGGTTGTTGGCCCAGAGAGTAGATTTTTAACTTAGAGAAGTGTTTGTCCGCCCACCTCTTAGCAGGCTGTTCTAAAATTCCTTTCTCCTAGGACCCTTTCAAGTACAGCTACCCACCACTAGTAGATGATGACTTCCAGACACCGCTGTGTGAAAATGGGCCTATTGCCAGTGAAGATGAAGCTTCAAGTAAAGAAGATCTAGAAAGTGATGGCAAAGAAACTTTGGAAACGATTTCCAGTGAAGAACAAACGGCTCTTCTAAAAAAGGTAGTTGTAACAATAAAATGAATTTGAGTCAGAATCTGTAGCCTGTCTGCAGTTCTGCAACTAGCTAGCTATGTGATTTTGGGTAATTCATTTAACTTCCTGTCCTTTCACATTTTGTATGTGAAAAGAAAGAGGAAGGAGGTCACTGGCTAACCAGTAATGTCACTATGGTGTGTGACAAGGCTGATTTCATGCATTTGTATAAAAATTGGCAAAATGCACCTTGAAGGAATTGTGTTTTCAAAAATATTTTTTATCAGAGATAAAGTAAAAATAGTTTAAAACCTTTTCCCTACTTCCTCTATTTCAGTTTTGGAAAGAGCACTTAGCTATCTTTTTATGAGTCATGGGGGGCTTGATAGAAGGATAAATATGTTATAATTTATAACAAATTTAAAGATCCTATGGGAAAGTCAATGTTATATATTCTGTAGTGACTTAGTTGTAGTAGGCACTGAAATCTATGTTAATAGTCATGTTAATATATGTTAAATGTAATTTAGGTGTAATAAACTTATGTTAAAGATTATAAAGATTTGGATCACTATAATGTTTACTTTTTCACCTAATGAACTGCCTGGCTGTCAGTATGAAACTAAATTTATCTTTTTTTCTTCATTCTTTTTTTTGGGGTCTTTAGATTAACGTAACCGAACATACTTCCAAAGCAGAGGAAAATGAAAAGGTTGATTCCAAAATGAAAGCTTTCAAAAAACCATTGAGTGTGTTTAAAGGGCCCTTACTACACATCAGGTAATAATAGTTTAAGATTTTATTAGCTATGCTTTTTTTAATAATCTATCTTGATCATCTTGAGGGAAAATGTATTTCCACAGTTTGAAAAACAGTATAGAAGTTTTCTAATTAAAGGTTATCCAAAGACTCACCTTGGTTTCCAGACACAGTAGACATTTTTAGCCACCTTTTTGTTATTCCATTAAGTGTAATTAAAGGGCCCTCATTTCCCATCAATTAATAAAAGTGAATATTCGTATATGAACAGTTAATCTGAAGGACATATATTTTTCTCATTTTACTGATAGTGTTTGACTTGGACAACTTTGAGAGTGCTAGAGATGACAGAGAACTAAGCACTTATCAGTTTGACCTTCTAAAAGCTAAAGTTGGACTAGAAAAATAGATTTATTTTTTTTATTTTTTTATTTTTTTACCAAAGCCCAAGTTCAGCACATCGCTATTTTTGTTTCTGGGTTACTCAGTCTGAGATTCAGAATTGTTCTTAATGATCATTACGTAAAGATTTTCTCACTAATAATGCTTTTAGTTGATAAATTTATATGGCCTTATGTTAATTATTGCTATGCCAACTTTAGTGATGACCTAATGTATCATTTTCTGTCCTGTAGTTGAAATCTTTCTGTGTAACTCTTTTAGGTATGACTCTTATGACCAATAGAACCAGACTTTTATAAAAATCTGATATTCTAATTGAGAAGACTGGTTTGTTTACATATAGTGGGATTACTGTTATATTGGGATTTATCTCTACCATCTGTGTGTGTGTGTGTGCGCGCTTATGGGGGTGGTGGAGGAGATCCCACATGCATATTCTGCTGGTCATGGTTTTTCTTTGCCACGCCCCCGCTGTGGAGTATGTTTCTCCTCTTTCCCTATAATGGTTTAGAAGTTTCACACTTTTCATTGGAGGCTTGTGGACACCCTAGATCTTGGCTCATGAACGTCGAGGGTTGGCTAGGAGAGCTGGTTTGGGCCAGGGTAGGGCAGGGCAGCCTCCACCCCCAGCAAAGTCCCAGCACCTGCCACCCACAGGCACAGGCACCCAAACAGCGGCTGTCTCCCAGAAGTCTCATGGTTTTTGTGCTGCTTACTAAGAGTACTTCTGAGATTCATAACCTTCTTTGTCTTTTCTGCGTTACATCAGATGGGCTCTCAAAGTAAGGCAGCAGCCGTGCTAATTTGTCTTGTCAAAAGCTGGGCACAGCCCTCCTAGGAGAGCGCGTCCTTAAAAATATGTGTTCTCCAAATCTCTGATATACACACATTCCTGATATAAAATGAATGTACTTACGTATATGGTCAAGGACAGTCTGAACAATTCACCTTTTTATCTAAAACAAAAGCCCTGTTCTGCCCACTGTTTGGAGGCACCTGAATACAAGTTGACTCATGTAATTAAACTACACAATTGGGGCACCCGGGTGGCTCAGTCCAACTTCTGCTCAGGTCACGATCTCACGGCTTATGAGTTTGAGTCCCACTTGGGGTGCTCTGCTGACAGCTTGGAGCCTGCTTTGGATTCTGTCTTCCTCTCCTCTCTCTCTGCCCCTCCCCCACTCATGCTCTGTCTCTCTCAAAAATAAACATTAAAAGAATAAAAACTACACAAACGTGGCTTCAGTCTTTTAGTTTTTTCAGTTCATGAGCTCCACAGTGTCAAGTAATAGTAAAATTTGTATTTTGAGGCTCACTGATATTACTGTTTGACAAATATTTCCCACCCCAAATTTTATTTGTGTTTTTTTGTATTCTATATTACTTAGAAAAAGCCTTTATATAGTAAGGTCTCTGTTACTTCAAGAGATCTCTAATGATCGTTCATTTTAAGTTAGGCTTTTCTTTGTTGGTGTATAAAATTATGCCCCATTCTAATCTGTTTGTCATTAAAGTTGAAGCGGCAGTTTTTTCTGTTTTGATTATCTATAACCTTCCAAAGAGTTTAAATGCACCTTTAGATGGTGCTGATTATAGGCTGATTCAGAATCATCTTATTCTTTTCTTCTGTCCTTTTCTATTTAGCTTTTGATCTTGGGGAAACCAACCATAGGACTTTTAAACAGCATGCAATGAATTAGTAAGATTAAAACACAAACTATATTAGGTAATTGTTTTCTAATCTTTTCTTTTTTGATGAAATCTCTTTACATAAATGAGCACAAAATATCAAATATTTTTCTTTCAGCTAATCATTAGATTGTCATTTATTCTGAATACTACAAATGCCTTATGTTTTTGTCACCACCTAGCCCAGCAGAAGAACTATATTTTGGAAGTACAGAATCTGGAGAGAAGAAGACTTTAATAGTGTTGACGAATGTAACTAAAAACACTGTGGCGTTTAAGGTAAGTACCTGAAAGATCTAATAGATTATATGTGGAAATCTGATATGGGAAGTGATTTCAGACATTTTAATTGAAAGATTGAGGATTTGCAACTTGCACAGTATTTTTATGATTTCTTTATGCATGTTACACTGCCTTCTAGTTTTAACCACATGGCATAGTTTATCTAAAACCTTCCCTGGGATCTGTATCTCCATCTTTAATGAGCCGTAATAGGCTAATGTCCAAATTAATCTCAGGCTTTAATGTTTGTTATAAATAAAAAACCAAGGAAAATCACTGTTCATCATATAAATCATAATAGCAAAAAAATAAAACTGTGAAACCAAGAGTACATTTCCCCCCCCCCCAGTTTGATATAGTTTGGAATATAGTTTATGCTGGATACTAACCTAATGACCGAGTCTACCACTGCCCCATGTTATAGAAATTATTGCCTTAAATCGTCTATTTAACTTAGACCACTAGGATGTTCTTTGATTATCGAATGTTTTTAATTTGACAACACTATTATAACATGTCCTAATACACAGCTTTTTGGAATTTGTATTATTAAATTTAGGCAATTGCCAGATAGCATACCTCACAGATTGTTTTGTTTAAAAGGAAGGCTGAGTGACAGTTGGACTTCCAAGATGAGTGAATATTTTAAAAAATAGAGTAACATACTGTTTTCCTGTTGATGGGGAAAGATATGATCTATGCTTGACCACCATGGTTGTTTTGTAGACTTTATTATTAATTGCTAGTTTTCTAAAAATCGTTTTCAAGCCCATTACCCCGCAAAAGCATTTTTATCATTATGTTGTTAGTTACCTGATTATTGTATTTATAAACAGGTGAGAACAACTGCCCCAGAAAAGTACAGAGTCAAGCCAAGCAATAGCAGTTGTGACCCTGGAGCCTCAGTTGATATAGTTGTGTCTCCCCATGGAGGTGAGTTGTCCCCTGATGGCCTCAGAGAGTGTGCTGGGGTACGTGGGGCTGGGTGAGGAGTCCGTAGAGCTGGACTAGGATCTGGAAATCAGAGCATCAACAAGTCACCTCACTGCATTCTTAGGCATCCGTTTCCACATGTGTAAAATGAGATGGGTAAATGGGTCTCATTAGAATGGTTTTTTTTAATACATAAAACTCTTTAAACTCATGCCAGTTGAAATATAATTTTTTAAAAAGTCCTCATTAAAAAAATTTTTTTTTCCTTTTTAAGGTGGTTCCATATTGTCCTTTTTCCACTGTTTTCTAGAATAATGCCTTAAACCACACGGCCAACCCTTTGTAAAGGCTCTTGTTTAATAATAAGTTACTCTTTTGGAATGCAGGTTTAACAGTCTCTGCGCAGGACCGTTTTCTGATAATGGCTGCAGAAATGGAACAGTCATCTGGCACGGGCCCAGCAGAATTGACTCAGTTCTGGAAAGAAGTTCCCAGAAACAAAGTGATGGAGCATAGGTATGCTTCTTAGAGACTCTCAGCGGTGATGGGAAGAATCAGAGAGAGAGAGGTCTGCACAGACTAGGCAGGTGTCTCTTCCTTCTTGCATTTGGCAGACATTTAGGCTTCTAGAGTGGGCCTCAAGCTGTTGGGGGCCCTAGGGTGCCCAGGTGAATGAGATCTGGAGTTTCTCAAGGAGGTTGCTAATACCAGAGACTTGCTTACAGGCCAGCGCAAGAATCTGGAGGTGTCCAAATTACGAACCTAGATCTGTCCCGGCAGTTCCCTGTATAGGAACACTCACTTTGTGACCTAGAATGTGTGTGTTGCAGCATTGTTTGTACTAGTGAAAAATGAGAAAGAACAAACCTAAATGGTCACCAGTAAAGCAAGCATCAAACGCACTTGAGTATAAGCAGGAGTGCTCTGCAGCTATTCCAGAGTGCGGGAAGTCTCTTGTTCTGATACGGGAAAGTACCCATGATATATTAGGGGGGAAACCCGGGACTGCATAGGCATATACAAGTATGTATGTGCATGCACAGATACACAGAAAAGGAGAAAAGATAAGACTGTTGTGGTTTCCTTTTGAAGCGTGCCACTTCTGCCTCCCAGGAGACACTTGTCAATGTCTGGAAAGATTGTTCATTGTCACAAGTGGGCAGTGGGGTACTGGGGGAGCTAGAGACCAGGGATGCTGCTATATGTCCTGCAACGCAAAGGACAGCCCCCCAAAACAAAGAATGGTGGGTGGTTAAGGATGGCCATTCTGATGGCACTTTGGTAGGCCCTGAAGGAAGAGAGAGAATAAGCCATATAGATAACTGGAAAAAGTACTTCCCAGGTAGAGGGAACCACAAGTGAAATAGGCATGTGCTTGGTCTGTGTAAGGAACAGCAAGGAGGTGAAGTGCAGCTTGTGGGAGAGGAGGTCAAAGAGCTAGTAGGAAGGCAAATGATTACCACAGTGAGGACTTCTGATTTTGAGAGAAGAAACTATAGTTGGTGCTAAGCAGAGCCAGGAGGTGATCTGGCTTATTTTTTTTTAAAGGATTATTTTAGGGGCTGTGTGGAAAAGAGTGTAGGCAGACACAGGTGGAAGACTGATACTGGGTTAACACTTGCAACAGGGCTGGCATACGGCCGGCTCTATTCAAGTGCTTCACTCTTACTTACTCAGTCAGTCATTAAAATGACCCTAGGAAGTAAGTAGTTCTTTGTCTCCTTTGATAAATGAGAAGCTAGAAAACCTAGTAACGGTCATGCCTGAGTTAAATGTTCAAAAGCAAGTGACAGAACACACATGTGGCTGGACCACAGGAGTGACAGGACTTAGGGTGAGAAGAAAGCCGGACAGAGGTGGATAGGGCCCAGAAGAGGGGTTTGGTCACCATCATACAACCACTGAGAGAGCATCGACCTGACCCGCTTCACCTCTGACGAGGTCACTGTTTGCAGGCATGTTCACAGAGGGGAGGAGAACAGAAGTGGGCCTGGGCAGACCAGCTTTATCTCAGCTGGCCCAGGAAGAGAGGGGAAGCGCCTAGCCTAGGGCAATATTTCGTGGCCAGAGGAAGATAATCCAGCAGGGACTGAGGAGGGAAAGCAGTAGGTGAGTTGTGTCATCACAAGTCCAGGGAAAGAGCCTTTCACAAAAGAGGAAGGGACCAGCACTACCAAGTGCCTCCAGGCCAGTCAGGAAGGATGAGGTGTGGGCAGTGGCCACCAGCGACCTCGTGGAGGTCATCACTGACCACCTGAGGGGCAGTTTCCATTGGCAAGAGCCAAGTGCCAAAGAAATGGAGGTAGTAAGATTGTTCTAGAGATTTGGCTTGCTGGAGGAAGGAATAATGTAGTGTTGATGAAGGGGTTGTCTGGCGTGGGTTTTTCAATGTGCGGGGCTGACTATACAGGGTAAATCACTAATAGTGAAATTCCTGAGAAAGTTGAAGGGACAAGACCTAAATCCAAGGTAAGAATCAGCTTTCTTCAGGAAGGAAGAGGGAAAGCAGATGTAGATTAAGGCTCGGGATGGGTTTGACTAGGGACAGAATAAATTTCCAAGCTGTAACACTGTCCACTTTGTTTTTCGCAAGAGTTTATTTTTGTCCAAGGTGTGGCTATGAAAACAAATTGAAAGGTTAAGTAACCCTGGTATAAAAGATGGAGATTAATTTGAAGTTCTTATCAAAGTCCCTCAAAAGCAGGTTTTTTCTTTTAATCAGTTGCTCATGGTTTGGTTTTCAAGAGAGGATCATTTACGTCCCAGAAAGAGTGAGACTTGGTGGTTTCGTGCTGAAGGCCCACGTGAAGCATCGACTCCCATCTAGAAAGGGTGGTCTGCAAATTAGTAGTAAGATCAGGTGGATTCTACTGATTACTGTATAAAATAAACTCGTAGGTTATTAAGCCATATCTGTAATTCTTGTGTTATTACACATGCATTAAGAAGTAGGAAGCGGGGTGCCTTGGTGGCTCTGTCGGTAAAGTGCCCAACGCTTAATTTCAACTCAGGTCATGATCTCATGGTTTGAGGGCTCTGCACGGACAGTGCAGAACCTGCTTGGGATTCTCTCTCCCCCTTACTGCCCCTCCCCCATTTGCTCTGGTGCTTTCTCAAAATAAACCTGAAAAAAAAAAGAAGAAGAAGAAGTAGGGAAGGAAAAATAATTTGCCCTCTACCCACCTTAAATACCATCTCTGGTGAAAGAAGAAAGATTGGGGGGAGTGGGTTCGGGAACAGAGGAGCCAGTAATGAGAGTTATCAGGAAAAGCATCGTAAACAAGCGTAAGGCTACTATGCAGATTTAGATGAATTCCTCCCCTGAGCGTGCCAAGGTAAGGGGCCTTCCTTACCTGGTAAGGCTGTCCAGAAGCCTGTAAGCAAGGTTCCCAGGGGCTTTATTGGGTCCATAAAATCAATCTTAAGCCCTTAAAACTGTTCATACCTGACTTTTATGCATATCATTTTCAAATATGACTTTCAAGTCAAAACCTTAGTAATATAACCATGCTTTTCACTGTGTCCTCTTCCAAGGAAAAGAGATTATTGAACTGAAAAACTGTATTTCCATGAAAGAGTACTATGAGTTTCTGAATGCTGGAGGGACCAGGTAGGGAGAAACCTTGTTTCAATTCTGCTTACAAAGGTATAGTTTACTAAATTGCTGTCGATCATAGACAGCTTATCCTTAAACCTGGGAAAATGAAACATTAAGGAACCAGCAGTGTTTCAAAGTCCTAAAAAGTGTATTCATCAGTTCATTCCCTCCCACGTTATTAATTTTTGGTCTGCTTGAAACCAGCTTTTTTATTTGGGAATTCTTACCAGTTCAGTTTTATGATCTTAAAGTCGTCAGAAACCTGTTTTCTGGAGTACTTGTCAGAGTCCTTTCCATAAGAAGCACATTTGCGAAAGGATCCAGGTAAAACAGTAGCTTCTGTAAATGACAAAAAGACTTAAAAATGGCCATGGTTACAGACCTGATGAGATTTATTAGAATGCTTTTGACAAGGAAATTCGGTTATTTCTGTGACATACAACATTGTAAGATGATAATTAGAATTACCAACAGTAACCTTATACCAGAACATAGGCGATTTCTAGGAATTTTATGCAATTTCGGGTACACCTATGTTAATAATATATCCATATAAATACAATCTAAAGAAGGTTTAGGATTACTTGACAGTGCTTCCCCTGTAACTTAACCTAGTCCCTAATTAGTTTTATAGCTCTTTTTAATAGAGGGAACAAATCTTTCGATATGTTCCAGAAGCCCTCTGAAAAATTCCACAGATAGTTCAAGGTCAAAAAGTTTTTTTAGAATTTGAGTTGTGGTTTGTCAAAAATATCAGGTTTTAGACACTTAACTAAGTAGAATCCTAGATCATCATGAAATAATAATTATCCTTTTAACCACAGTGATGACAAAATGTGAAAGGCAAATGCAGAAAGGTACATCGTTGTCAGTAAAACTTAGCTCTTTTAATCTTTAGAAGACTATTTTCCTAAGCAATCAAATACATGATGATAAAGATAACATGAAGCACAGGAAATTATTTTGATAAAACACACAACCTTTGCTTTCTAGACAGATTACTTAAAAGATAACTACTGATAAGAGTGTGAAAGGTTTTTAACTGATAGTCCAAGAAAGTGTTGTTTTTTTTTTTTAGCAGAGGTTAACTTTTAGTTTTACCTAAGTACGCCATTGACATTAAAGCTACTTTTTTACAATCCTTGTAACAAATTCATTCCATGTTAGCCAGCTTGACTACAGAAAGTGAAAATTTTCTTTACTCTCTTCCCTATTCAGAAATAACCAGCTTGAATTTAGGATAAAATTACTTTCATTCCCTTTAACAAAAATACGTGTCCGTATTTCCTCAGCCAAAAACACATCCTATTTTCCTTGCACATGGAGTTAGTCAACTCCATTTTTTCTAGTAGTTTTAATCACATATGTGATTCAGAATTCTTTACCCTTAGAAACCATAATTTTTAGTGAAAACTAAGTAGTAAACAATTGTGGTCAGTTAACACCAGCATTCTATAGATTGGCAAATGTGGGGATACATAATTTCTAGAAGCCTGTGCTTCCTCATTGTAGTTTTTCAATGTGGCACGAGATTTATTTACTAACAGACTAAATATTTTTAGTTCATCTATAATAAGAATCTAAAAGTAGATAAACTTGTGTTTAGTAAGGTTTCAGTATTTTATCTTGCTTGGAAATATTTTCGTATTTAACTTAGCAAAACTAAGGTTTCCAGTTACCAGAGTTGAAAAACTGTTTTCAAGTAGACAAATTCACCTAAAAACTCTTATCCAGTTTACCTAAAAACATGAAACTAAAGTCAAGTAGAAAAAAAGGATAACTTTGAAGACATGCCTATTTTAAACCAACAAACGTAACCTAGCTTTTATTTTACCTAAGATTACTCCACATCACATGAACTTATAGAAACTAACCCAAGTGTCTTTCATTTCTAAGAGTTTTAAGAATACTTAATTTGATAAGTGCTTATTTTTCTTTAAGTCAGTCACACAGAGCTTTTACACATTAATCTTGGCAATACTGTCCAGAGGCAGAAAAATATCACAGATCCAACAACGTACATATATAGACACACAGAAACCATAGACACAGACTTTTTTAGCTAACTAGCTCTAAAATTTTAGCCATGAATCAGGTACAATAACATGAAACTCACTAGTTTATAAAAGAACATTTAGATCCAAATTGTGTTTCTGGCAGTTGGAATAAGTTTACCCTCAAGTTTGTGTTTCAAAGAGTTAGCTATCAGGTCCTAGAGAAGATAGGGTAGAAAATGTCTACCTGAAAGGCACAGAGAAAGTATCAGGGTTTGTTTGGGTTTTGTTTGGTTGGTTTTTTCGTAGGCATTTTGGGGGGTATCTTTGCCTGTTATCAGAGGTTTACAGTAATTACTATTTTTATTTTCTTTGTCTTAAGCACAGGACAGTTCTGTTTCCAATGTCCTGATCTTTGATAATACCAACATGTATTTGCAGATGAGAGGGGAAGGCTTTAGGACGGGCAAGGTTAGGCGGATTGTGCACTGCTTCCGGTGTTGCATTTGTGGTTTTGTCAAGACTTACAAGTCAAAGAGGGTTGCTTTTAATTCCTCAGATAATTCTGTTGCAAGCTGAATGGGATCAGGGGATGCACCAACCATCCAGCTACATTTTCTTTAGTCTGCTCTATATCAGGGAGAAGATTTCCAACTAAGATGGAAATGAAGTGGTCTCTGTGTTCTGGAGCGTCAGGGTTTAATGCAACATGCCTTTAAAAAGTTTATAGAAAGTACAAGCGCCTTAGAATGCTGTCCTTTTTCTGAATGTTTAGTTCATCCTTGGACCAATTTAATTTGGGGGAAAACAACCTGTCCTATCAGCCCCCAGACATCAGCTGATCCATTTCCTAAACATCTGTAGGAGAGCCTGGGAGAAATTCCTTCCCGTCATGTTTCCAGTGAGAAGAGTTTTCCCCAGGGGGGGTATGGGGCTTATCTGATAACTACTGTATAGTCCTCATGAGAACCACCACCCTTAGCAGCCAGTCACAGTCCATGTGAATGGGGCCTGATCTTTTTACCTCTTCTCTAAATTTGGTAGGTGGTTATCTTCTGAAAGTGGAGATTAAAAACTTCCTAATCTCAGGCGCCAGGGTGTCTCAGTCCGCTAAGCGTCAAACTTCGGCTCAGGTCATGATCTCAGGGTTCCTGGGTTCAAGCCCCATGTCAGGCTCTGTGCTGACAGCCAGCTCAGAGCCTGGAGCCTGCTTCACATTCTGTGTCTCCCTCTCTCTCTGACCCTCCCCTGCTCACTCTGTCTCTCTCAGAAATAAAACATTTAAAAAAAATTTTTAATTAAAAAAAAAAACAAAACTTTGTAATCTCATCTTTCTATGGAAGTCCCTCAGGCTAGCCATCCTACTCGGTCATGTTCTCCTTTCAATGTGGTCTTTCCAGAGGTACCAATAAGACCATTGTTTAGGATGAGAGCTCTCTAAAACTGTATTAAGCATAGAAGCTTTTCCTGCAAAAGATCCACCATCTGGCATCGACAAGTTGGATCTTCTCTTAATCTCAGTAGCAACTCAAGCCAACAGGCCTTTTGATGCCATAACCTTGGACACAAGAGGCTTCTCGAAAGAGGGTGCCAAATACTGCAGCCCTCAGAGAGGGAGCGTAAGAAAGCAAAAGCCGTCATTGCCTCAAGTGGGGAGAACAGTGTCGTGAAAATGGCAGCTCGGGTTTCCCACAACAATGTGCGAGGCCCCCGCTCACAGACCCTGCGATCTGTGCTACCACGGGAGTGGACTGGGGCCCCGAATGACAAACTGCCCTGAGAGGTGGCACGGCCGGCAGAAGAGAATGCTGCGGGTCACCCTGTGTGTCTCAGACCTCCAGCCTGTTCAGCTACGTGCATGTGTCCATATGCATGCTCTAGCCGGCAGAGACCGAACAGAATATTCTTGCTGGTCCCAAACCCAGGCTCTCAATACATAGAACGAGATCAAAGGAAAACCTCATTTGACCAATTTTCTTCTGCTAATCTAAATTTGGAAAGGTAGGGACAAGGTGAAATTTTTATGTGTCTCTCTTGCCCTGGCACTAGTATGAGATCCAGAAAAGCTGAGTCAGTAAGAATTCTTACCCTTTGCTGGCTTCTGCCACTTTCCCACGATCCCATCTGTAGGCTCCTCCGTGAGTACGGTGTCTCAGCAGGGCCCATCGTAGGTTGCCAAAATGTAGGAGAGGAAAAATAATTTTCCTTCTGCCTTACTGGGTTCTTGGCTGAGGCCCCCACCCCCTGGAATAAAAGACAGATTAATAGGAGAAAAGAGAAGTTGAATAACACGTATACTTCCTGTCTACATGGGACATACCAGGGAAAGAGCAAAACCTCCCCCAAATGGCCCAAGATGCCACCTTAAAGACCATCGCCAGCTCAAGAAAAGATGTTGGGGAGTAAGCAAGCCAGTTAGGGGAGGCTGTCGGGAAAATCACAGTCAACGAGGGTAAGGTCCTTAAGCAGATTTAGATCGGTCCCTTCTCCTAGAGATTTTTGTCATCCCCTCTTCCTGGTACAGAGAGGAGACATAAAGTAGAGATTTCCTTTATAAATGTCAGTGTCTCTTACAAAAGATTTTCAAAGCTTTTCTGATGTCTGCTGTTTCTTCGAAAACAGCGAGCCCAACATAGTCCTCCTGACTGAGAGGCATATCCTGGGGTGGCAAATTGTGTTCCCCTTCCAAGATCAATACACGCTGTGCTGCTGCCTTAACGTGTAACTGGGGAGAAGAATGAGTGCTTTCATGCCTGCTACATCTATTTCTGTGTTTAACTTTCTTCATTGTACAGTTTCCTTTTATAATCGTGTTTCCTTTGCATTTCCATAGGTTAAGATGTCATATTGTTGAGAGCAGTAAACCAACCACCCTGACCTTAAAAGACAGTGCTTTTAACATGTCAGATAAAACCAGTGAAGATCTTTATCTACAAGTAAGTGTTCTTTCTCCCTAACTAAAACAAAGGTGTTAATGCTAACCAACAGTAGAAACCCACTTTTTCCCCCACTGACGTAGAGAAAACCTTTGGCATAGACACAACAGAAATGCTCTTTTCTTTGCAAAGGGAAGCCAAATCTAAAATGGTAAGCCAGGGGTTACTTTTGGCGATCTGTCAACTTTTTTTTTTAAAGCTCTGGCCATTCTAATTTGGACAAGGTGTGGTGCTTGGGATAGTATCCAAGAATTTGATCTCAAGGAAGAGGTACCATTTAAATTCAAACAAGATTCAACCGGCTCTCCTTCTGACTAGCTGGTTTTGGTACCTCCAGGAAGTGATTGCTTTGCTCCTTTTGAACTGGAAAATTAGACCTTTCCAAAACACGGGTAAGCAGGTGTACGTCTGTTCACCAACCAAATGTAATCTCACCTCCTTGCGTTTCCAGCTCCCAGCTGTTCTGAGTAGACGGACCCCATCCTGTACTCATGTTTGGATGTCTAATATTCCTAGTTGTCGTTCACATGGTTAATGTACTGTTTTACTGATACAAATCTTTCATCCTTTTTTTTCCCCTCTTCAGCTCAATCATTTACTAGAAAGCAATAGGAAGCTTGAAGACCAAGTTCAGCGTTGTATCTGGTTCCAGCAGCTGCTGCTTTCCTTAACAATGCTCTTGCTTGCTTTTGTCATCTCTCTCTTCTATTTGTTGTACACTTAAAGAACTGGAGTTCAGCAAGAAACGTGGCTCTTTCACTCATTAGTTGGAAAAAGACCCAGAACTTCATGCCACTAAAAGTTTTGCACGTCTGTGCTTCCTGAAAGGAAACATGCAACCTTTAGAGGGGAACAAATATGCGTCCCGAAAATAAACTCTGTTAGAATAAGGAAACACTGGAGAGATTGATTCTAAGAGACCATAGTTAATCAAGTCAAGGCATAGCCACTGTGTAAATTAATACTTTAGATATAATTTATTTTTTCCTTTTGATTTGAATACTTCAAAAGTTTCAGTTTCCTTATATGTGTACATTAGCTGGACTGAAAAGTAGAAATAACAAGCTTTGTCGCAGCCAAAAAATGTAATCTGCTTTTTTTTTTTTTTAATGACAAAATCATTATAGCTGAGCCAACTTATTAGCTTTTCTATACTATGTATATAGAATATGTATATTGGGAAAAAACCATACTTAATACAGAGTAATTTCTGTAAACATGACTTTGTAATTTTGAGAAGTCCTTCCAGATGCTAGTCAATATTCTTTGGGTATGTAAAACTATTTAACGCCAAACCACCTTTTAGCCTTTGTTCTTATCTGTCTTCCTTAACAGTCTGCCTTTTATTAATCTCAGACTTTTTTATGAACACTCACATTTAGATAGAATTGGGGAAACTAAGTTTGCTTGGGTTTCCTTGAATTCTGTCAGTGACATCGAGAAGAAAACAACTCTTGGTCCTCCCTTCCGGTCTTTTTTATGCAGCTGCACATCGTGCACTGGGGCCGGACACTGACCCCCGTGCTCCATTCCTTATAAAGGTCTAATCCTCCTTTGTACCATCTCCACCCTCTTTGCTAAATGAAAGGAGTTAAAATTTCTTTCTTTGGAACCTTGATTTTTGAGATGCATAGCAGTGGGATTCATTCACATTTCAGTTCCACGTGAAAATCAGCCACAAGAAGGAAACGTGACAAAACACTGGAGTATCTATAAACGTGGGGGGAAAATCAAAACTCGAGTGTCGATTCTCCATTTAGGAGTGAAAACTAGAATTCCTGATCCACTGGTACAAACCTTCAGATCAGGGCTCGTGCTGGGCACTCCGCCTTGGTCACAGCAGTCCCCAGGGTGGTCCCTCAATTCCTCAAGTGATACAACTTGCAGGGGCAGAGGCCGATGAAATTCGTTTGTTTTCTCACACAGCCAGCTTCAGTCCGTGTTGGTTCACATGTAACTCTACTTCATCTGAAAGAAAACACAGTCTGCCTGTTAAATAAATTTTGAGTTTTGATTGAGCCACGTTTGGAGAATTTTTTATTCTGAAGTGTAGTATTGACGGCTTTCATCTTGAGAAGCTGAGTCCAAAATCCAGTTGGAGAGAGTGATTTCATAGAGTCCCTTCAAAATTGGCCTAGCCATAAAACCTTAAAAGGACACTGGTCTGATACTTTGTCTTAATTTGGGTTTTTCTGTTGCAGTTTGCCAACTCCAGCCGTGAAAGTGACTTCAGTACACCCTAAGTACTACCCATAGTATCTCCCTGTGTGCACAGCGGTTCCCTTTATCTGTTACATTCCCGGCTCTCACATAACCTAATCCCCAAGTATTTGTCTGTGTTTTTTTGTTCCTCAGCCAATGAATGAGGAAACCGTTGGTCCGAATTGGAAGTGTATTGTCCTAACAGTGTCCCTTTAATGTTTCCTATGAAAATGACATTGACTCACTAAAATGTTCTTCGCTGATGTCTGGCCAGTTGAAGTTAAAAACCTATCTTGTTAATGTTTGTGTGTCTACTAAGTGTGACTATGCAAGATTATTGAAAATTAACGATAAAATCAAAGGCATCTGAACTTTTGTTCTTGTCTTAACTAATCACTTCTTTACATGTGATTTTATTCTGTCTTCATTTGATTTTATTTAATCACATTTTGTATGATTATTGCTCTGAGCACTCAGATAATAATTTTACTTTTTATCTTGTCATTACCTGTTCATGACCAAATTACCAAGGATCAACACGGAGATCGAGATTTTCGCTTGAGAATGGAAATTAATAGATTTTCCATGAAAACATTAATCAAATATTATTAGCTTGATCGGAAAGTAGCCTAGAAATGCAATTGCGGTTAAACCTAGCCTCAAATTTCCTAACAATACCATAACTGTTTTTATATCTTGCCACTAATTTTGACTGGATTTAATAGCACTTTATTGTACAATTGCAAAAAAAAAAAAAAATATTCCTAGAATTGTTGCCAGTGTAATTTCTCTAATATTCTGGTGCTTTTCATATATTTTCAGTATTTTTATTACTATATTGGTATTTTCTTTGTATAATTGATCAAAAGAACATGTTTTCTATTTTAATATGTTTTAGAAAAATAATTACATTTATGAAATAAATATCATCAGGAAAAACCTCTGGTCTCTAATTGATAAAGTATCTTAAAATCAATGTTCAGGCTCACTCTGACCTTTTAGAGATCACATTAATGTCTTCTGGCCCTGCTTTGCATTTTTATAAGGACAGCGCTGTAAGCTTCCACAGATACAATTACGTTATCGGGTAAACCTGTCTCTCGTGTGTCCCGTTTCTCCTCGGCCCGGGTCAGAGCCTGGCCACTCTTCAGTGCAGCTCTCCGTTTCCCCCAAACTCAAACACTAGACTCCCTGTCCTGACTCGGGGCTCCATCATGGAACCTTCACGAGAGCTGCCCCACGTGAGTCCCCTCAGTCCTAGTACACTTTCCTAACTGACAGGAGCCGGCCGCCGTCCTACCTGGCTCGTGCGTACACGGAAGGCAGTCCCTGTGACGAGGCACCCACGGGGTGAGGGTGTCCTTGGGGAGGGGCGTTGGGATTGTTGATGTGGTCCCCTCACCACTGGATGCTAACTCCCAAATGGCAGCTCCCACTCCATAAAAATGGAATGGATAGGACAGAGCCATCTTCAAAACTGAAAAAAAAAAAAAAAAACAAAAAACGAAACGATGACAAATTAGGAATAAAGCGACAAAAACAAAACGGTGACCTAACAACATCAGCCCCAGAAGCATAGGACTCCCTTTCTCCCCCTGCCCCAGAGAGACCATGGAAATTGTCCCATTTGTGGCAAAGGTGGTGAGGAGTGAGGGCTCTGTAGTAAGACCCTCTGGGTTCGGCTTCCCTCTGTTACTTGGGGGTGTTACTTGACCTCTTTCAGCCTGTTTCCTCAGCTCTGAGTCTGATCATCCTGGTACTGTGCGCCAGGAGGAGCATGAGTGAGAGGAAATAATGCAGGTACAGCAGCCCTGGAGAGGCAGGCCGTGGCTTTGCTGATGTTGCCCCCACCACCTTCCATCCCAGCTTCCTAGAACTTTCCACACTTGGGATGATCTTACTGAATATCCCACCTCATTCGAAACCAGTCATCAGTTCGCCACACTTTCCCCTGCTTTGAATTCCCACCCTTGCCTCCGTGGTACCCTACTCTTAATTCTAGTGCGCAGGTCAAGAGATACACTTTGGAAGGCTAGTGATGATTGGCTGCCTTGAATCCTGTGAAGGAGTATCCCTTCCAGTCTGATGAAGACTTAGATGCTTCCTTCCACCATTGCGCCCACATCCCTTCAAACCACCACACACACACACACACACACACAGAATTGATTTTGCAATATTCCACCCATAAGTTTCCCTTAAATTTGTAATCAACAAAAAGATCACATAGGATCTTTCACGTCTTCATAATTTTGTCCTTAATTACATCTGCCAAATCCCTTCTGCTGTATAAGCTAACTTAATTTATGCGAGTGCTATCCCATCACATTCACTAACTCTGGCCCCCACTCAAGGGTGGGGGGGTGGTTACACAGGGTGTGTCCAGTAGAATCTGCAAGCTCATCCAATCTGGTCCCCCCATTTTGCAGATCAGAAAACAGAGTCAGGAAGCTAAACCAACCTTACCCGGTCTAGTTGACTGATTGGACTTCACACATGTCCCACACGTGAAAGCAAACAGATGAGGATTATGTTAGGCACCGAATGACAGGCATAGTATGTCTCTATCCCAGTTGGCTTTCTTTTTCAGTGCACACATGTATTCAAACGCTTGTAAACCAACTTAAGGGAAAGTATGTAACTAGTATCTTCAACATTTGTTCAACCACAAACACTCAAGATACATTCTTATGACAGAGTAATGCACTAGGGCAATGGTCCAGTGATGTGTACTTTTGGAAACAAAAGCTCTAGTGAAAAACAATTTTTTTTTCAAATTTCTCTTTTACTTCAGAATAATCCATTCATTTCAGTTAGTTTAATTAAATAAGCTTTCTTGGACATTCATTTGCTCTGTCAAGGTAGCTACATTGAAAATGTTAAAACTATAAGAAAGGGGGAAAATCCTTTTCTTCCAGAAACTTACATCATGATTCCCAGCATTTGTATTGTCCAATTTACTATGGATCAAACTCCAGTACATTGAATTCTATTATTCCAGAAAGTCCTCTGCACACTTTCATGTCATTCTCATTCTACAGGGGTGTGTGTGTGTGTGTGTGTGTGTGTGTGTGTTGAAAAATCTCACTGATTTTTGGAAGTCATCTAAAACCATCTTGCATGGACTTGCTATTGCCTCAGAAATTCAGACTTGAACTCACTCTCTCTACGTCTTCTCTGCAAGAAACCTCCAAACTCCTAATATCATGCCTGCCCCCTTTTGCTGGATCTGGGACAACCAAAGAAGTTAGTTGTTTGTTGTTCCCACTCTAATACTTCTCTTTCTTTTCTATACCAAGCCCTCACTCTAATACTAGCAAACAGATTCATTCAGTACAATTACTATTTGCCATTAAATTTGCCCAGAATTGCTTTTGTCCGCTAATAGGCAGATGTGCTTGAGCAACTTTGAGCCAAACACCAAATCACTGTTCTCTGTCATAAACTAAATGTGAAAAATGTGTTTTGGGTACTTTGCCAATATCCTAACTCTATGACTCAAGCTATTTCCTTTTAAGGGAGTGGAGAGGGATGAGGTTATTATTAGGAGCACTAACAATAGTATGATAGTCTAACGAAATGTAACTGTTTTTTAATGTGGCTGAACCAAGAAGTTACAAAAAAGGGAAGGTAAAAGGAAACTGATATAAAAAGCAAAGCTTCCTTTCAAATTCAGTATTTACTACTCTGGGATCACTTAAACCACTTAAGATCTTATTCATTAAAGGTGGAGGTGCATCTTTATAGAGGAGCTCTATCCAAAGTGAGTGCTTAGAGTAAAATTGAGTATACTCAGAATTTCCCCTGAAAATTCATTAGGAAGTTGCCACAACAGAGATGGATATAGTAACTCCTACCTTGGTGAGTCCAGACCTTCAGTTTAATACCAGATAATGTATTTAGTTGGCTTTATTTGGAAGGGGGATATAGTACAATAAATAATACGTATTGTGTCTTCAAAACTCGAATCACCATCAGCAAGATTCTCTTAAGAGGCACAAGACAAATGAGATTGAATGAGAAAAAAAAATCATTCACATCTCCCATTCTACATATATTAAGTCGAACAGACCCTCTTGATTTTAAGACTTGAGGATGTGCTTCACATGGCTGAGGCCAAAATCCAAACTGAGAACTGTTCAGGAAGGGTTCTCACCACATCTCCGCTTCCATCTCCTTCCTGTTATCTCACTACATTTTAGTATCTATTCCCATCACTCCAGAGAAACAATACCTGCTCAAAGTCCAACGATGACTTCCTGTCACTTCATCCAATGGAGTTGCTTCAGTTTGACTCTGAAGTGAATTCTTACAGCAGCATTTGGCTGCACCAACTGTCAGGTTTTTCTTCTCCCACTAACACTCTCTAGTGGCCTTTACTGGCTTATCTCCCTCCACAAAGTCTGTAAGATGTTAATATTAGAACAGGCCTCCCTTGAGGTGCCTGGGTGGCTCAGTCAGCTAAGCCTCTGACACTTGATTTTGGCTCAGGCCATGATCTCATGGTTTGTGAGTTCAAGCCCCACACTGGGCTTTACACTGACAGTGCAGAGCCTGCTTGGCATTCTCAGTCTCCCTCTCTCTCTGACCGTCCCCTGCTCAAGCTCGCTCGCTCTCTCTCTCTCTCTCTCTCTCTCTCTCTCAAGAAATAAACTAAAAAAATTACCAAAAAAAACAAAATAAAACAAAACAAAAAGAACTGGGATTCCTTTCCTTTCTTGCCATAGGTAATCTCCTCAATACCCCAAGCTGCAATTAGCATTGGTAAACCATTAACCCTTGAATATTCCAAGGAGACCTATTCTAAGCCTACAACAGGATATGTATCTACCATCAACTTGGCAGTTCCAGATGTCCATTATAAAATGTCAAAAACAACTCATGATCTTCCCCCAGACCTGGCCCTCAGTCTCCATCTCAATGAATGGCACTACCCTCCATTCAAGTTATACCAGCTAGAAACCTGATCTTCACCCTTGACCCCACAGGGGCCCTTCCACTCTCCACTTCTCTCCCTTTCCACTGCAACCCCCATTCTTTGATCCACAGCATCTCTCATTTGGTTTCTGCAACAACCTCAGGCAGTATTGTTGATTCTCTTCAGTCCTTTCTCCATATGGCATTCAGGGATATTCAGGACTCATTAAAAATGCACATCCTATCATACAACTCCCCAGATTAAGACTCTCAAGTGGCTACCATGGCTCTTAGCCCATAATTACATTTCCTAACTTGGTTTACCAACTTCTGGAGGATCTGACTGTTGGCCTACCTTCTCAGCCTCACTTTCCCCACTCTCTCTCGCTCTTTATGGTATGGTCCTGTATGAACCAGACTAACACCATCTTGGACAAATCTACCATGATGACCACTCTGACCTGAAGCCTTCTAGAGCCCAACCCACTTCCCCACATTCTTTCTTTTATTTAACCACATCCTTAAGTACACCATCAGCGAATAATGTCCTCTCTCTGTCTTGGAGATAGGACTATGACACACCTGTATTCTCAAACATTCTCCTCCTGTGTGGTCTCTTAGCACCTACTTCACGACCTCGGGCTACAAAAGCAGGTGTCACAGGAAGTGAGGTTGTGGGTCTTGCTTTTATCTGTTAAGTCCTCTTAGTAAACCATTTCTTGTCAAGCTGCACTTATCAGCCTTTTTCTTCAGTGTTGTGGCTCCTTCAACATTTGGAGGTCTTCTTGTTTGCACCTCCCTTTCCTGAACAGGTCCCATCTCCACCTGGAATTCTCTATCCCAACCTCCCCGCCTTCCACTGCTTACC